AGCCGCAGGGTTAAAACCTGGGGGACCTGGCACACAGACCACTTAATTGAGCTGAAGTGGTCTGGGTGACTATAGTGTCCCTTTAAACTAAATTGGAGCAAATTGAAATAAAGGCAAACTTTAATCAACAGGAGCCAAGCTGTGAATATACCTGAATTGGAGAATTTTTTCATAACAGTTATTACTTATTTTACAGATGTCTGTGACAAGGCAGACTGATTTTGAAGCCTTATCCTCTGCATAAGTGAAGATAATCTTGTACGGGTTGTCATACTGTCACACACACTTATGTCACTGATGTAGCATTATAATGGGTTAATATGTATTGGTTGCAATGCAGGGGTATTCAAGGTAGGTGATACAAAATAAGACTGTGGGGTTTCTGGTTTACGATAGCTGATATGCACAGGTCTACCCCCACCCCCTCACATGTTAAAACACCAAGCTGTCAGGAGTGAGTCTGGAAAATAGGAGAACCATACAGAGGTCCTATCCATCATGTGAGGTCTATGTGTTTTACTACAGCAGCAGCTTATCAAATCTTATCAGTACAACAGCAACTATAGTGTGACGTGACGGACCATAATGTTATGATTCAGAATCTCCAGTTGATCTATTGCAGGCACACCATGCTACTTCTACAATAACTTCAAGTAGTCTTTGTGTAATTAGGCTGTTGGCATAGCAACACCTGGGCCATACACTACATACAATATTACAGCAGTGGGACTGGACACCATCCCAACATGCAACTGTATGAAGAAGAAGCTGTATGTAACCCTCCCAACCTCTTAATACATGGCTGGAAAGAAAATACACAAATGTATTAAAATAATTGTGGAGCAGCAGCTCTTTATTGGATCACAGTAATGCATGCATTGAAGTACAAATATTCATGCATGAAATTATTGCTTAAAGGGCCATGTCATCTCAGCAAAGTGGTCTGGGTGCAGTGTTCCTGCAGTTTTAACCCTTTAATGTAAAACATTGCCGCTAAAAAAATAAAATTCTACTTTTAAAGGGTCAGCACGCCTCTAGTGGCTGTCTTTCACCTCCATAACTATGCAGGTCTCCCGGGCAGCAACCAGAGGGGCTTCCACCTCCGCAGCCTCGTAAACATCGCTTCTTCAATCAAATGCTGCACATTATCACATCCTTACATCAATTATGACATTGCCGTTTAACAATAAAGACCAGATTTAATTAGAATGCTGCCACAAAACTTGCTTAAATAGGAGATAGAGAGGAAAACAATGTCCAATGGTGAGTTTTAGCTGAAGTAGGTTGAAACTTCTCCTCTCCCCCCTTTTATTTATTATTATTTTTTTTTGCAGTGCAGAAAAGTTTAACATACAGGCATGTGGTGCCCCGACGGCATTCCACGTGCTTTTGCAAATAAACAATCGTAACAGCGGGGTGTCTGATATGTCTTGCACATATTTTAGGGTATAGGGTGCGATTGCATGCAACAATAACATGGTAAGATATGCTGTAGGTTTTCAGTAGCTTGTGGTCAACACGCTAGCTAAATATTCACGATGCTTATATCAGCGTTGGTTATGTTTACGCTTAATATGTATTCTATAGATTACGTGATGGAAATTCATAACAGTAAAGGAAAAGAAACAATAACCTTGGCTCAACAATTAGTATTACTGTTAGCTTGTGAGTCACTGTGGTTCGGAGCTGTGTGTGGTGATGCCTCCTTTGCTCCATGGGTGTCAGTCCTGGTCACACAGTATAACAGGCTTAGGCTCAGGGATGACGAGCCTGGCGCTGACCTTTATGGAGGCTTTGTGTAGAGAGTCTCTATTATCCGATGCCATCTCTTGTGAAGCAGTGGGCAGTGGTTGGGGTAGTGTCGGAGGCTGCTGCAGCGGTGGGTAGTGTGGGGACATCCTTCCAGCCCCAGGCTGTTGTGTAGGCCTGCATCTCGGTGCCACGAACTCTGCAGCTTCTCTCCCCCTTTTTTGGGACATTTATGAGGCTAATATTCAAATAAAATTAGTTTTAGTGATTTCCGTTTCTTATGGCGTTTGTGAAGATTCCCACATGGAAATACATGTCCGATGACTCCCATCACTGGGGACTGTCCGTTACCTTTCTATTTTATTGGCCGAGGTTAAACTGTTCAATCAAAATGTCCGTTTACTTGGTTTCACCTGGGCTGCTTTTGCTAATGTATTCATTTTCTAGTTCCGAATTACAGTTCTTGGCTACAGTAATAAACTGTAAGTACTTTAACTGATATTTATATTGTTATATTTATTTTGTAGGCAACTATCATGTCAGGAAGCACACTGAGCTTGAATCACGAGAATTCCCAGCCTCGCGGGCAGCTCGGGCGACAAGCAAGCTTCCAAGAAAAGAGCTCTCTCAGGCAGCACTACAGCCAGAACGCCCGCAGCAACACTCTACCATCTGACTCTGGAAGGAAGTCTGTAGCCATGAGAAAAATTAAACAAGAATTTAAAGAAATCATGTCACCCACTCCGGTAGAGCTACACAAGGTCAGTAAGACCTTCAAGGCCATAGCTTGTTCTCAGATGGCTATTCATCATGTTAGGTTTCCTATTCCTCCTGTATCAACCAGTGTGTGTTTTGCTTCTTAACTGTATCTTCCTTTAAAATGATCCCCAAACGTCACACGTTCAACACTATGATTGTAGCCAAGGCGCAGTGGCATCTCTATGAGGAAAATTCAGGGTCTCCATGCAGAGCGTGGGGGACGCTGAACAGCAGAGTTTCCTTCTGTGCAGCCCTGAGCCAGGAAGCCCCTGTTTTGGTGACTATAGCGTCCCTTTAATAGATTTCCTCATGCAAAAGGAATTCCATAGACCTCTATGGGGCGTTGCACTAGAGATGCCTATTCTAATGAGCTTTTATGAATGATGACTAATGGGAAGATGCAGATGATCTGCTGGTTGTAGTGAGAACTTAAGGACCAAACTTCTGGAATAAAAGGGAATCATGACATGTCACACATGTCATGTGTCCTTAAGGGGTTAAAGCTTCTAACTTTCTGACAAACTGAGAAGAGACCATGTGTCAGTAAACACTTTCAGGGTGTCATTGCCAAATGAAGAATGTTCAATGAGAATGTAAATGTCAAAAGCAGAGTTCAAAGAATTTGAATTTCTGTTACTTTTGTCTAAATTTTGACACTTGAATTTCAATTTGCCCAAATCACAAATTGTTTCATTCATGAAAATACATAATTGAGGCTAATTGTTAAGCTGATAAAAAAGAATAGTGACATGCAGTGTAATTCTATTTATTGAAGTTGGAATGTATGTAACAAGCGCTTGAGAACCTGGATCATATTCCCTATATAATGTAGACCTAGTTAACCGTCATGTCTTTCTTTCCCAAACAGGTGTCTTTATTTAAGGACTCTGATCGAGAGGACTTTGGATTTAGTGTTGCTGACGGTTTACTAGAAAAGGGTGTATATGTAAAGAATATCCGTCCCAATGGCCCTGGAGACGTAGCAGGTCTGAAGCCATATGACCGGCTGTTGCAGGTAACAAACTTTGCTGACAAAATAATCTTATTGAATGGATAAAGTGGTATTGTCTAACAAATCTAAGTGCTGTGAGATTCATGTCCTTAAAGGGACACTAAACACCAAAACCACTAAATCTCGATGTAGTGGTTTCAGTGGGCAGACCCTGTGCCTGCACTCAAATGTAAGGTAATATTGGCAATATTTACATTTATCAGAAAGCCACTAGCTACTTCCTTGTGAAGACTTTCACTAACTGAAAGCTAGCACGTTCAGCTATGCACAACAGGTCTACAACCTAGTTTCTCAACCTGTGGTACACATAGAACTGGCCACCTTGGCGTTCCCCAGGATGCAGCTGGCTGGGGGAGAATGGGGGGGGGGGAGGGAGGGAGCTGTAACCTTCAGGATTTTCCAGCACTGTTCCCTGCAGTGATGCCAGGGTTGCGTTATGTCACTCCTGCCTCGGTATCATTAAACCACAAGGAGCAGTGCTGGACGAGCACAAAGATGACAGCAGCAACACTGGACCCGAAGGGAAAGGATCCACTCCAACTCTCCAAAAGGTAGCGAGGCTAGGTGAAACTAAATTTTTTTTTTTTTTTTTAAAGATATATATATATATAATGTGTGTGTTTCTTAGATAAGTGAGATTGTGTACACTGTGTGTAGGTTTGTATGTAAATGTGTGTGTGTGTATCTAGATTAGAGGGTGTATAAGGGGGAGTCTGAATAAACTCTCCTAGCTAAGAGGCATGCCCAACAATGCAGTCTAAATAAGTTTATAAACGTTTATTACATACTTTTCAAAAAATGTCTTACTTTAGTTTGATTTGTAGGTTTGTTTTTAAATTGTAATGTATGTATGTCTCTTTAAGTGTGCTAAATTGGATTGTTTGATCTTGTGTACATCTTGATGAGACGTTGAACAAACACATTGTACAGCAGATATTTTAACAGATCAGCAGAAATGCAATTGTCAATAAAGGGACACCATAGTCACTACAGCCTAATGTCGTTTTTCTGGTGGGTATACAATAAAAAGCCTGCCGGGAGATGCTAAACACTGACTTTTCGGGGAAAAGGCAGTGTTTACATTCCTGCCTAACTTAGGACACCTTCAGTGGTAGTTACTCAGACGGCCACTAGAGGTGCTTCCTGGGACATTCAGCGTCTTTAGACTCTGCCTGGAGACACTGAAAATTTCCCATAGAGATGCATTGAGAAGATTGTAAAGGACTGGATTGACTGAGATCATCAAGTTTGATCTCAGCCAAGGGTGACCAGACTCGCTCGACACTGCACAATGGAAATAAATCCCCTTTTTAACCAGAGATTAATGGTGGGCTGGCGTACTAACTGGCTCTGATGTACTACAAGCATTTGAATTATAAAAGAGGATTACTTGCTGTGAAAATAGTTGGTAAAGGTTTAAAATACATTTTCTCCAGAGCTGCATCATTACATTAAACATACAAATCTAAGCATCATAAATGTGTACTCTCTCTTCTAACTGTAGGTCAATCATGTCCGCACCAGAGACTTTGACTGCTGCTTAGCTGTTCCACTTATCGCAGAATCCGGAAACAAACTTGATTTAGTTATTAGCAGAAACCCAATAGCATCTCAGAGTGAAGCACCAGATGTAGCAAGCCTCCCGCTAGAGGAATGGACAGACCACGACCCCTTCTCACAACAAGGAAGTGGACGTCTGGCAGGAGTGAACATGAGAGATTCTACCAATACTTTATAGCAAAAAGCATTTTAATTTAGTAAATTAAATTTTTGACAAAAGTAAGAAACTGGTGCTAATTCCCTGTCGTATAATTGGGCTGTGATGTTTCAGACACCGATATCGCCATGCAAAGCTACTGTTAAGCACAGGGGAGATAAACTACCGGTACTTTCGAATACCAGAATGAGGAAACCTATGTTTTTTTTGATCAGATAGTACTTTGTGACCACACTTAAAATATTAGTGCCATTCCAAGCTTGACCTTGAACAAACATATGGGGGCTTTTTGTAATGTGCAATGAAAGGTCTGGAATTAAAGTGGCTTATTTCCCCCCAAAAAACAAAAAACTGTCCGTGTACCACGCAAAGAATCTATTATAACAACCAGACGTGTACGTATGTTTTAAAGCTGCTGATGGTGTGGAGAAGAATTTTTTTTAAATCATGGTTTTTGTACATTATTTTCACTTTTGTCATCAGACCAGGATTCATGTCTACCAAGTCGATGATCTGTAGGACTGATCATCGTACTCCTTGGTTAAATGGGCTGGGCTTCAATACAAGTGCTCATTGTACAGTATGTGGTTTAATTCTTTAACGTCTTACATAAAACTTTCCGTAAAATAGAGAAAATTTTAAAAAAGTCATCATTTATGTGTAGTCATGTTTTTGAAGAATTTTGAATTCCAGGTAAAATACCATTGGTCAAAGATTCCCATTAGTGGTCCTAAATCCCAAGCTCCACGGGCATAAAAGCACTCTGGTCCTAACCCTACATTGCCTGTTCTATATTTCACATCCCTGGTGCATTTTACATTGTGAGAGCTGACTAACTCTGGTGTTTGTGTTGTATAAATAAGACCTTTAGCATCAAACTGGTTTCCCCAAGCCATGTGTCATTGTTTTAGAGTTGTACATGTGTTAAAAGATCTTTGCCAATCGTTTATCCCTCCAAGCAATAAAGAGATTCTTGTTTTGATTGGGTACTCACCAGCAGCTCAAAATCTGACACACACCACTGGCATTCGCCAACTTCGAGAGTCTCCAGCAGAGGAACGCATGTATCCATTAGTCTGTGAAAGTTACTAACCAACTACTGCTGTGATGGTTAATAAACAGGTTGCATTTTCCTGAACCAACATGCTGTGTTCAAAACACTGCCAGTGAATATACAAATTTAAAATAAAACGTATATGGGAAGAAAAATCATTTATCATGTCAATTAAATATGTATTTTTGTTTGTAACAAACAAGTATTACACTGTAAAGTATTTTTGTACAAATTTAATACTTTAATAGCATGACATGAATGGTCTATGTATGGTTTTGGGAATTGAACCTACTGGAAATTTATATGGAACAATCATAATGTACAAACCACAATAAACAAAGATTTTAAAACCAACAAGATGCAATATGAGTAAAATGTAAAACATGATCTTAGCAACCAAAACGTTAGAACATATTACAAAGGGTTTACAAGATTGTGAAAGTCCTCTGTGCAAAGCAATTTCGTTCAATCGGTCCATAAACCTTCAATACAATAACCTACATGAAGTGGCTTACTGGCCTTACATCATCTTGTATTAAAACCGGTCACTAACACAAGATTAATCCTTCCCTTTGCATGTGTGTTAGTTACAGCAGAGAAGGGATGCGATTTTGCCATTTGAAATTGGAACACTGGAAATGTCAAAGTGGGATGTAGGAGATGGGGCAGACAGAGGGGGCAACAACTATCTCACCACATTACATACAGTGTGCTGCAAACAAGCATTCTTCTATGCACAAGTTCTGGAATCATGTGCGTATTTTATAGCATAAATAATTTAAGTGAATTAACCTTATTTTCTCTCCCGCCAAACTAGCATTACCAAATGTTTTTAATTCCTATTTAATTAGTTGTTAGAGTGCTTGTCATGCAAACATACACATCACTTTATACATCATATATTGCCCTGCCTCATTTGATGTCAAATGCATAAACACTGGGGGTTTTTTTTGCTAGCATTTTACATAGAATACTGCGACTATGCCAACATTGCTGCCAGAACAGATGTCTTCACATCTGATCAAATCCAACAACCTGATCAGAACAGCTGCCTACCGTGCACATAACACATCTGGGGACAGTGGGACGTGTCAAAATTATGCGCAGTAGCCATCTTGGTACAGGCTTATTCAAGCATCAAGTATATTCTTTTAACATAGATTGCATTTTTGTTCATACATGCAGCGCTCACTTGGTGGTAGTGCTAAGCCTGTAACACTGCAGTGAAACCTCTAAGAATTGAAACACAACTAAATCTGTTGAAGTCCCTTTTTGAATATAAAATACAGTGTGTCTACCCATCTTATCACACTATTTATGTGAACATTTTTTTAAATGTATTTGATCAGGTGATGAATTAACCATTTCTGTTCCCCCTGTTCTATCTATAACATTAAGCCCCACCCACTGCGTTGCAAGGGATGAACCTATGAATTTGTGTTATGTATTTAGAATATCAGTAACTGAAATCAACTTGGAACACTGAGTACGATTATTAAATACAGTGTGACTCTTCCAGTGAATGCAATACCCACCAACACTTTTTAGGGGGAAACAAATATATGTTTAAAAAAATACAGCAAGCAATGTATCTAACGTCATTAGCACCCATTACTTTTAGCAAAATATCTGGCTTAATAAATAAGTCACTCTAAAAACTTGACCCAACAAAAGGTAGAGGAGAATAAAGTTGTGTCCATCCTTTTTAGCATTTTAAACAATAATTTTCTAGATTTAATAAAGGGAACATTTCTGTGTTGAGACCAGATACTAGATTTCTTTTTGAAATCCATCCTTTGTCATAGAACTCTCTCTGTATCACTGGTATTAAGAATACATTAGTGAAGGTACTTTGCTTATTGGCTGACCCTGGGATGTTAACTGTTCAGTGGGGTAAAAATTTAGGGTTTTATCATTTACTCTTATTTGGAGGGATATTACATCCCTGGTTTGTAAAATGTATTCAGATTTTTGGGGTTTCTGTAAACTGGTAAGTGAGCAGAAATTTGTTCCAAAAATGACATAAAAGTGAAATGGGGCACATACTGTCCTCTCTTTGCTGCTAACATATAAAGATCTGCTCCAGTACGCAGTAGCAGATTCCTTAAGAATACAAAGAACCTTCTTTTATCTGATAGAAGATCATTGTCATTCTCTGAAGCTGGCTGCTGCCATAAGACGTCAGGGTGTTTCCAATATTTATTATTTGAAGAGTTGCTTTTGACATGAGTCGCTGATACTGAGACTCTGCATACTGGAAGTACCCAAAGGAGAGATCGCTACGGCCTGTAATGACAAAAGCAAACTAGATAAAGAGAATGTATTCAATTCAGGGTAACTGAAGCTCTGGTACACAATTTGAAAGTCTATATTTCAAATAAATAAATAAATATAGGAATTTTCATTTATTATTTTTCGATTCTTGTGAGTTAGAAAATTAGAACATAGAATTGTACAACATACATGCTTTACATGGGAAACTTAACATACCTAAAACAGGTGATAGCTAAAACTGGCACACCTAATCAACTACATTTCCGCTTAGAAGGTCTTTAGGGCCCTTTAAAGGGATCAAGAAAAAAAAAAAAAAAAATTATATTTAAAGGACCACTATAGTGCCAGGAAAACATACTCGTTTTCCTGGCACTATAGTGCCCTGAGGGTGCCCCCACCCTCAGGGACCCCCTCACGCCCGGCTCTGGAAAGGGGAAAAGGGTTAAAAACTTACCTTTTTCCAGCGCTGGGCGGGGAGCTCTCCTCCTCCTCTCCGTCTCCGATCCTCCTCCTGGGCTGAATGCGCACGCGCGGCAAGAGCTGCGCGCGCATTCAGCCCGTCGCATAGGAAAGCATTTACAATGCTTTCCTATGGACGCTTGCGTGCTCTCACTGTGAAAATCACAGTGAGAAGCACGCAAGCGCCTCTAGTGGCTGTCAATGAGACAGCCACTAGAGGATTAGGTGGAAGGCTTAACCCATTCATAAACATAGCAGTTTCTCTGAAACTGCTATGTTTATAAAAAAACTGGGTTAACCCTAGAAGGACCTGGCACCCAGACCACTTCATTAAGCTGAAGTGGTCTGGGTGCCTAGAGTGGTCCTTTAATGCGGCCCTGGGAACCGTCTCCTTTCAAATTACCCTTGACTCAGCAGCCCTTATGGGCAAGGACACCTTAGAGGGTCCCAGAGTGCTTTATTTATTTAGAGACCTCATTGAATCTCTCTTATGACTTGTGAAAGTCTCACAGTACGCAGAGCTGCTAACATCCGCTGGCTATGGTCAGTCACGCTCGGAAGCCACAAGATATTTACATTGACTTCCAAGCATAATAGATTCTAGTAGCAGTGCAGTTGCAGCAATGAGCTTTGCCTGAGCATCAACTGAACTACATTGTGATGTCATTTGCTAAACCTTTAATATAAATTTAAAGAAAACCGAGCATCACGCAGAAAACAAAAATTATCACAGTTAATAGGTGATTTTCAATGTTTTATTAATTGGTGTGATTTCCTGAGTAGTGACAGTTCGCCTTTAATCTCTGAACACCACTATAATTCTTTACTAAAATCAAACGGAGACACCTAAAGTGCAAGTATGAATCTCACAGGCAATACTTCTTAAAGGAACACTATGCACCATAAACACTACTGCCCAGCACTGCATCCACTTAAGACATTAGCTCATTGGCCCACCCAATGGATGCAGCTAAGCCTAGCTCAGTGCTACGTTTTCTGACGGATGTGGAGGTGGCAGTGGGTGCCAAGCAGACACCAGATAAGTTGTTTAACGATTCTTAACAGTCTGACTACTCACCAGGGCACTACTGGTACCATAGCCACTACAATGAGTTCTACTAGCTATGATGCTTGGAGTGTTCGTTTAATCCTACATCCTATTGTGGGGCTGTTGCCTGGGATTTGATGAATGTGACATGCTTGTTCCAACCACTGAAACTTCATGAAAACCCAATTCTGAGTACTGACACTGAGATAAGATCTATGGCAATTGTGCTATGCACATCATCGTTCTAATTTTCTGCATGATGCATGTTTAAAAAAAAAAAAAAAAAAAAAAGTGTCTTGCCCTTTACCTCTGCCCTGCCATAGTTGTAGGAAAACCAAATGAAATGAATATGGCTAGAAGTTTATAGCACTGGTTTATATTTGTAACGCAAACCAATGCACCACAAACATTTAGGCAACACATACAGTTCTCTTGTCCCTCACTCTTGGAAACAAATGTTTAGAAAATTTGAGATCTTCTAAGAAAAAAAAATAATCAAAATGAGTTAAAGTGATACTATTGGCATTAAAAAAATATAGCTTAATGAATCCGTTTTTGTGTACAAATCATGCCCCTGCAGTCTGACAGCTCAATTATCTGTCATTTAGGAGTTAAAATCTGTTTAAGCAAGCCGCACCTCCCCTGGCTGTGACTCACACAGCCTTCATGAAAAAAATTAATCTTTTCATTTTCAGTCAGATGTTAATTTGCTTTAGAAGTTTTTATCTCCTGCTCTGTAAATTGAACTTTAACCAGAGCATGAGATAAAAAAATTCTAGATAAATAAACATACTCTGCAATACAGGAACCTAAACTATCTAGGTTTCTATTTAGGCAGGCTGTGCAAGTCACATGTATGGATGTATGCCTAGGGCTGCATAAACAAAGTGATTTAACAAAAATGGCAGAGAATTAAGCAGTGAGACTGCAGGCGCATGATCTAAACACCAAAACTGCTTCATTTAGCTAACTTTTTGTGCCTCTAGTGTCCCTTTAAGCATGAATATGTATATAAAATAAACTGCATTGATTGCTTAGCAAGGTTTGCTTACAGCCTGCGGCCCACAATTAATATATTTGCAGCCCGCCTGCTTTGTGCCGTGGCTGCGACCAGCCGCAAGACAAGAAAGAGATTTCCTGTCTGATCCTGGTCTTTCCTCCCACGACTGGAGAGCAGGCCAGCCACTCCCCCTTCCCCCCTGCTCCCAGTGCCAGAGGTGCGTCTGGCCTGCTTGAGCAGAGAAGAGCAGAGCTGGAACTGAAGAACCGGTGGCTCATCTTAAGGTAGGGAAAGAGGGGCTTGGGAGACCGTCCTGTGTAGGATGTTAAATTGAGGAGGGAGGCGGCAGTGTATTACTTTGGGGGATGGAGGTGGCAGTGTATTACTTTGGGGGGAGGGAGGGGGCAGTGTATTACTTTGGGGGGAGGGAGGGGGCAGTGTATTACTTTGGGGGGAGGGAGGGGGCAGTGTATTAATTTGGGGGGACGGAGGGGGCAGTGTATTACCATATATACTCAAGTATAAGTCTAGTTTTTCAGCACATTATTTGTGCTGAAAAACCCCCACTCGACTTATACTCGAGTCAGTGTCTGTATTATGGCAACTTACATTGCCATAATACAGACCAGGACCGCCGGGCTCATTACAAGCCCGGCAGTCCTGTTGGGGGCTGGCAGAGAGCTGTTATTTACCTTTCCTGCAGCTCCTGTCAGCTTCCTTCTCCTGTGCAGAGTGTGTGTATAATGGTGAGTGTGTGTATTAGTGTGTGTGTGTGTGTATAATGCAGAGTGTGTGTAGGAGTGTGTGTATAATGCAGTGTGTGTTTGTATGAGTGTGTGTGTATATAATGCAGTGTGTGTGTGTATATAATTATAAAAATCACAGAACTTCATAGCCCCAAGTTTTACCCTCGACTTATCCACGAGGCATAGCATATTTCACAATTGTTGGTCACAAAACTTATACATGAGATCGACTTATACACAAGTATATACGGTAATTTGGGGGGAGGGAGGGGGCAGTGTATTAATTTGGGGGAGGAAGGTGGCAGTGTATTAATTTGGGGAAGGAAGGGAGCCGTGTATTAATTTGAAGAGGGAGGCAGTATTAGAGTGGTGGTGAGGGTGCAGTGTGTTATGTTGGGGGAGGAAGGGGGGCAGTGTATTAGAGTGGTGAAAGGGGGGCAGTGTATTAGAGTGGTGGGAGGGGGTAGTGTGTTAAATTGGGTAACGGAGGGGGGCAGTGTATTAAATTGGGAGGAGTGTATTCAATTAGAACGGTGGGAGGGGGCAGTGTATTAGATTAAGGGGCAGTGTATTAGAGTGGGAGGAAAGGCAGCGAGTTAGATTAGGGGTAGGGAGGGCAGTCTATTCAATTTAAGTGGGGGGGAGGGGCAATGGTTTAGATTGGGTGAAGAGGGCAGTGTATAACAGTGGAGGGAGGGGGTGCAATGTATTGGATTTGTGGGCTGTGTATTAGAATGGGAAGAGGGGCAGTGTGTTAGATTGGGTCTGTATGGAGGCGCTGAACGCTCCCCATGGGGATGCTGATCCTGTGGAAAGCACTGGATTGGCTGAGATCAAGCCAAAGAGAAGAACACACTCATAGGACTCATAGATAACGTCATTTGTTTTTTTACAGCTGTGCAAAAGCAATCATTCACCAGTTCAGTCCCATTACCAAACGTTTCTTAAAATGTCAAGGTAGTTGGACTGAAACATTGGTTATACGCAAATGCATGTCTGCTTAAAATAAATTTGCACTTTTGTTTACTTTAACCCCTTAAGGACACATGACACGTGTGACATGTCAGGATTCCCTTTTATTCCAGAAGTTTGGTCCTTAAGGGGTTAAGCCCTATGAGCGTAAGGACGTCCAGTGTCAGTTAGGCAGCTTCTTTCATACTATACTTTTCTAAATATACCTAGGCTGCTATGAAAACTGCGGCCCGCAAACTTTAACCTGGTTTATTTGGCCCGTGTTAGATTCTGAGTTTGACATGCTTGCTGTACATTATGTGTGCGGTTTTCCAACTATTACTACTATTTACACTACTGCACAATCAAATACACACACATACATATATATATATAATCAACAAATTGATCACAATTAGCACTGTTATCTACTGTCATCTACCTTGTAAATTAGAACATTCTTTTTTTTTTCTAATGTCATTGTTTCCATGGTTTGTTATCCCAGGATTAAATGTTCAAGTTTAGCCAGTGTGCAAAAAAGTAAAAAATCCCCAAACAAGATAAAGTCAATGGCCAAACTTGGCCAAAATGACTGCTCACTGCGCAGGACTGCATGAGGAAACCCCAATATGGAGGCAGTGAGGGCAGCATGTAATCCATCTAATGTAATATATATAATGTAATTTATAGCTTGCAGTCAATACAGAGTACTTGGTATACTTGCCCAGTAAATCACCTACCTGAGCAGATGAAACACGGCTTATCTTGGAAGGGGTTTGATTAGTTGTTGGTGCTCCAGTCCTTTTCGTCAAAGGTGAATGCATCATGTCATTGTCTCCATGATATTCATTGGCCACGTTACTGACTGTCTGCATTGGGTGGTCTCCATGATATTCATTGGCCACGTTACTGACTGTCTGCATTGGGTGGTCTCCATGACATTCATTAGACACGTTACTGACGGTCTGCGTCGGATGGTCGCCATATTCCCTTGTATTATGGTCATTCAGAGTAGGTGTAGTAGGCACAAACTGAGTTTGAGCACGTGGTGGGGATTGACTCCATGTAAAACCATTGAAATCCTTGTTGTGATCACGCTCTTTATTAGTCTTTATGTGTGTGTATGGATTCTGAGTTCCTCTAACCTGGGTAGTCGGTGGGGAGTTTGTTGGATTTGATACATTTCTACTCTCTGACAGCAACATATTTAAACGCTGCTGAAGCCTTGTTTTTCTTTCGCGGGCCTTATTAGCAATTGCTTGGTCAAGTTGACTCATATTGGCTATTACATACACACGTTTGCGGCCTCTTGTTACAGCTGTGTATACATGCTTCCAGTTCTGCCGGCCTGCTGGGCCAAGCACATACACAACGGTGTCCTCTTCTGAGCCCTATGATCAATGGAAAAGGTATTACAATTAGCATTATCATTAGTGTTATTGAGTCCTGGCTGTGCCAAGACACAACTGGATTGTGGCGCAAGTTGCAAAGTCCGTAGCCAGTAAAAGCAGCATATAAGGAGCATCACATAAACGAAAGGTTAACAAGGGTAGGACAGGAAATACACTGAAAAGAGTTATTTACCAATATGTAAAAACAATACACAAATTCGCAAACATATTTTAAATATAAGCCAAAAAAAAAAAAAAAGACAGTTCGATGTCATTATAAAGTGCCTGTGTGTGCGCGATACAATGCTTTGAAAGTTGGATTTTCATGAACAAAATTGGCAGTTCACAAACGAACACGTGAATAAAATAAATAACTCTAGTTTATCCAGAAAATAAACCAAAAAACTCTAACTGGCAAAACTATCCGCTCGGATATAAATACAAAATAACTTTGTTTTACCTGTTGACACACTGGTCTATGTGCTGCTGCCAGGCTCCTTTGCTGAAATAAATAATTTTGATGATCTCAACTCTTTTTAGAGATGCATTGAATTAATGCATCTATATGGGAAGCGCCCAAGTCCACTAGAGGTGTACTTAAGCTGCAATGTAAACCCTGTCTTTTCTCTGAAACGTCAGAGTTGACAATGCTCAGCCAGCAGAGACAGGTCATATGTACCATAACCAAACTGTAGTGGTTCTGTTGCCTATAAAGTCCCTTTAACTAGTGGAAGTGGGGGGCAGGCCCAAGTAACAGGGTGGGTCAGAAGCCATTCTGGGTGATACATACCACAGAAGTGGCATATCCATGCAGAGGAACTTTTCTAGACTTTGCAAATGCCCTTCCTTTTAGAGTCACGTGCCAAATCTGCACAAAAGATCCGTCCCGGTTCCATGCTGAGAAGCCTGCAGGTCATTGCTAAACACGCTAGACTTCTGGAGCCCTGGTCCACATACTCACCAGAGGTAGGCCGCACAATGCCGAAGACACTGGCAGCAGCGAGAGATACAGTTGTGCTCAAAGGTTTGCATACTCTGGCAGAAATGCCGAAACTTTAGCACTGATTTTGAAAATATGGCTGGTCATGCAAAAAAATGGCTTTTATTGCTGGATAGTGATCATATGAAGCCATTTATTATCACATAGTAGCTTGGCTCCCTTTTAAATCATAATGATAACAGAAAATACCCAAATAGCCCTGATTAAAAGTTTACATACCCTTGAATTTATGTTACAGACACACAAGGTGACACACACAGGTTAAAATTACAATTAAAGGTTAATTTCGCACATCTGTGGCTTTTTAAATTGCTATTAGTGTCTGGGTATAAATAGTTTGTTAGCTCTCACGTGGATGCACTGAGCAGGCTAGATACTGAGCCATGGGGAGCAGAAAAGAACTGTTAAAAGACCTGCGTAACGGGGGCGGCGCCTGACTTCCGGCGCGAATGGCGGCTTTCTGAGGGAGCTCCGTCCTCGGAGGCACAGACCCGGCGATCTTTAGCACCCGCAACCGGCTTGCTCACACCCACCCGGTCACCTCGTATCTCACCCACGGTACCGCACTAAATAGCGATGGGGGGCGGGCGGAAAACGAAGCAGGGAGCAGAAGTAGCTCCGATATTCCGGAGCCGCAAAGATGGCGGCGCCACGCGGGAGGAAGAAGAAGGCCGCGAATATGACTCTGACTCTGCAGCCAGTGATAGGAGCAGAACAATGACGGCTACCCCCCTCACCAAAGATGACCTCCGCCAGCTACTAAATGAAATCAAGGCAAATATGGCTACAGAATTTGACAGGCATCTCACACCCATCAGAGAAGGCCTGATTGACTTAACCCACAGAACCTCCACTTTTGAGGAACAACTGGACCTGACGGTTACACGCACAACAGCAACTGAAAATGCCATAACCGCCCTACAAGAACAGCTCCGCCAACTAGAGGAGGCACAAGAGGACCTGAACAACCGGTCCCGCCGAAACAACGTAAGGATACGTGGAATCCCAGAAACGGTCACAATAGAGGCACTGGGCCCAACGCCACGAGAGCTCTTTTGTGGCCTGCTCCCAGAGGCTTCACCGGCGGAACTCCTACTAGATAGAGCGCACAGGGCTCTCCGAACACCCATGCCCAATGCAACCCAACCCAGGGACGTCATCATAAGAGTGCACTATTTCCACATTAAAGAGGCACTCATGCAAGCGGCACGAAACACCCCACTACAAATAGAAGGTCACCAAATCTCCTACCAGGACCTGGCCCCGAGCACCCTGCGCAAAAGGAAGGAGCTGCGGCCCCTCACTCAGGAGCTCACGAGGCAACATATCCGCTACTCATGGGGACACCCATTTAAGCTGCAGGTCCGGAAGAACAACCGCACCTACACCCTATACAACACCGCGGAAATGGCGGATTTCGCAGAGAGCCTCGGCCTGGACCCCACAACCCTCACCACGGATCCGAATCCCAGAAGACACGACAGAGGCCCTCCGCCCAGAAATGCACCACCGCTAGCCCCGACACGCCAGATACCGAATAGCCCACGCATCAGGGCCGACAACTAAACGGACCGACATCCACCCACTACTCGACGCACCAACAGAAGACCAACCTACGAAATAAGAAATATGTACCGACACGGACTATTCTCAAGAGGGTCATGGTCACCACAGCTGAAAACACACCTGAACACGGAACCTGGACTGACTTAGGCACTAAAGAACACTGGCAACCCCACACCCCGATAATGGACTGGAAACAGCCTACACCGCTGACAACTCCAAGCTCCAGATAAGATATAATTCACAAACTCTCTCCTTGCTTTATATCCTGTTACCTGCTCACTGTTTGGTTACTAGGACTCATTCGATAGACAGCAATTATATGTCTCCAGCTCGCTACTTAGTCACTGGGTATCCTTTAATAGATAGAAACCATAGATGCAGGAATATAGCCGGCACGCACTAGTACCCTTCTCGGCACCAGCTGATGTAGTCACAGACCACTGCCACCCAGGGTGCAAAGCGGAACAGCTGCCTCACATTCACCCACCACACAGGTATCCTGGATGCCACAGCACACAACACCACGACCTAACACCAAAACAGAGCAGATACCCACAGGGAGGCACACCCTGAGCGGGGAGGGATGGCTGGGGCACCCCCCAACAAGGGACATGGCATGCGCCTAATGATAGACACCTCTTAGGTGTACACCTCAAAACACCGCTAGCTCCCTTGAGCGTAAACACTTCCCCAGGAGACTCAATAAAGCAGTATCCTGGACCATACTCTGCTCCCGCACTAGACATACTGGGTCCCAGGAGATGAGGGCACACCCTCCACATAGAAAACTGGTGACAACACCACAAGCACCAGAGAGACTAAGCGCAAACGGCAAGCCCTGGAAAAAGAAGGACTTAGACAGGCACACCCTGAACGCATACAACCCCTAGGACCCATTGCAAACCGGGGCACCACCAAGGATAAGATCGGACCAACACAGGGAGGGTCTCACACTAACCCACAAGACTTGCAAAGACAAGGCACCAGGCACCAAGGGACCAGGAAAGTATAGCTACAACCCAACCCCCCATTCCTTTAGCCCCCCAACCCGGGGACCCCCTAGGACCCCCCACAGAGAGACACCATAGGGGAAGACACGCACCACGGGAACCTCTAGACACTACAGCAGAGGAAATGTATATAACTAAATTGAAGTTGATGTTAAACTGTTGTGTTACAATGTAAAACTGTTACTCATTATTTTTCAGCTAACCGACACACCCCACCCCTCCTCACGTGCTGACGGACGCCACTCACAGCAGACGGCACCATGCCGACATCTTACGACTAGACGGTGACAGCACACCCTCACCACCGCACCAATACTAGATCCACTACTGACCAGACCAACGCCCCACGGGCTCACAAGGTACGACCCTGCACACACAAGACACGATACGCAGAGAGCTCACTCCACGGACGCAACGCCCCCACAACGATGACCGACCACAGCACACACAGTAAAGCGGACGACTACTGAAAACTGCCTTTGGACAGCCCTGACCGGACGGTCGCCAACCCCCGACACACACACACCTACCCGAACTCACGGGGAAACTCACGGAGCGGTCGGACGCTTCGCCCCACTACCTACTGGCCTTCGGATAAGCCCAGTAGCGCACACTACCCATATCCCCCACCCGCTACCTTCACCCAGGCTAACACCCTACGCCCTCCCGCCCTCCCCCCCCCACCCTTCGCGGCCCGCGGCCACCCGGACGCGCAACTCAAGACATCCCATCACTGCAAACCCGCAGAGACCGCCACACTCCCACAGACACCATGCCTACACAAATAAGATGCATCTCCATTAATGCCAAGGGATTGAACTACCCCAACAAGAGGCATGGCATTTTACGCTGGGCACATAAACAACACGCTGACATAGTCCTCATACAGGAAACCCACTTCACATTCAACCGCATGTTCCCCCTCACTAACAGATACTACACACAGAGCTTCCATGCTCCCTCCCCAGACACCAAGACCAAAGGTGTAGCGATCGTATTGAGAGCAAACAGCCCCCTCACAGATATCACCTGCTCTAAAGACCCACAGGGTAGATATATCACAATACGGGGGAAAATAGGCACATCACAATACGCCTTCTCATCGCTCTACGCACCCACAACACCAGACCCACCCTTCTGGCAACAATTAGCGACCCACCTCAGCACGTACTCAGCCACACGACTTATAGTGGGTGGGGACTGCAATGCAGCACACATACCTGCCGTAGATCGGACCTCAAGCACCAAAACACGAACTCGCCCAAACCAAAACGACGCCCTCTTCGCCCAATTCCTGGCTTCCCACAAACTGATTGACATATGGAGGGCACAACACCCGACCACCAAAGACTACACTTTCTACTCCCACCCACACAGATCCTATTCACGCATTGACCACTTTCTCATTTCACCAAACTTACTATCTCAAATCACCAAATCGGAGATTGGACCTATCTCCTGGTCTGACCATGCCGAGATAGCAATCACTCTAAACCTACCGACCATACACACACACACTGGTCATGGCGACTTAACCCACTACTCCTCCACGATCAACTGATCAGAGACAAAATAACTATAGCAATCAAAGATTACTTCGACTTAAACTCACCCACAACGACCTCACCTATGACCCTCTGGACAGCACATAAAGCAGTCATCAGAGGCACACTCATCAGCCTAGCCACCCATAAAAAAAGACAAACACAACGACAAATACTAGAAACAATGACAGCACTCTGCCGCCTAGAAACGGAACACAAAAAGAACCCTAACCCGACCATCCTGTCCAAACTTACGGCGACCAGAAGCCTCCTTAACACTCTCACACAAGCAGACACAGCCAAAGCTCTGATGTGGCTCAAACAAAAATATTATGAAAAGGGCAACAAGGCGGACACCATGCTTGCCCGCAGACTTAAAAAGCGAACTGAAGCTAAACGCATTACACAGATACGAACGAACGATGGTACCCTCACAGACTGCCCAACTAGCATAGGAAAAGTCTTCCAGGACTATTACACAGACCTCTACAACCACGACCACCGACCCCATGACACCAACCCATCGCTGTCCACACGCATAGACACATTCCTACAAAGCACGACGCTACCCACCCTAACGCAAGAGGCCCAAGCAGCCTTGAGCCAAGACGTCACGACAGAAGAAATGGCCATTGCAGTGGGATCCCTCAAACCAAATAAAAGTCCAGGACCAGACGGCTACACAGCCCTATATTACAAAGAATTTGGCCCATCACTCCTCACAAATCTATGCACGGTCTTTAACGCAGCACTCAAGGGAGAGAACCTCCCACCAGAAATGACCGGGGCAAACATCTGCCTCCTCCCAAAACCCGGCAAAGACCACTCTGAACCCGCACACTACAGACCAATCTCCTTACTCAACGTGGACCTTAAAATCATGACCAAAATTATGGCCAACCGCCTAAACCCATATCTAAGATCCCTCATACACCCAGATCAAGTGGGATTCATCCCACACAGGCACGCTGCGGACAACACCCGGAGAGCCATTGACCTCATATGGCTGGCTAACCACAGACGAATCCCCACAGCGATCATCTCACTGGACGCGGAAAAAGCGTTTGATCGCTTGCTCTGGCCGTTCCTCTACCATACACTAAAATACATAGGGATACCACCCGAGTTTACTTCATTTGTGCAGGCCATCTATCACTCTCCCCAAGGGGCACTTCTTCTACCTAACATCCCCCCACTACGATTCCCCATCTCAAACGGCACGAGACAGGGGTGCCCTTTATCCCCTCTATTATTCGCCATATCACTGGAACCTTTGCTGCAAGCGGTGCGTGCCAGCCATGACATAGAGGGGCTAACGATCAGGGGAGAAACCTTTAAAATCTCAGCCTACGCAGATGACATCCTGCTAACACTGACAAATCCGGAAAAATCCATAAACTCGCTCCTAACTCTCATACAAGAATACTCAGACTTGTCAGGATACAAGATCAACCTGAATAAATCAGAGCTCCTCCCAATACAAATAGATGCTCCACACATAGCTACACTCAAACAAATATGCCCGATGAGGATCTGCCACACGATGATGACGTACCTAGGGATCCAACTCCCAACAGACATTACCACTCTTTATAAAACAAACTACACCCCCTTATTACAAAAAGCCCACTCTGACCTCACTAAATGGAAATCACTAGGGGTCTCATGGCTGGGGCGCATCGCTACAATCAAAATGAATCTCCTACCCAGATTCTTATATCTATATCAAACCCTACCCATACCGATCCATAAACAAGACTTTAAGGCACTACAAACAGCCATTGACACATTCATCTGGAATGGACACAAACCCAGAATACGCCGAAACACACTATACGTACCCAAGAAACACGGGGGACTAGGACTACCACACTTCACACATTACCACACGGCAGCACACCTAACGCAGATACAACACTGGCACGTCCCACCAGGGGAAAAAAGATGGGTGGACTTGGAACACAACATCTTCGGTAGGGACCACCCGTCCCTGTACATGTGGGTACCCAAACCACATAGATCCCTACCCCCTCCCACCGCACCCTCAATCACCCATGCGCTTGATACATGGGACAAAATGAGGGACAAATTTGAACTGTCATCGTTCCTATCTCCTATGACCCCCATATGGAGGAACAAGCTATTCCCACCGGGACTTACCCCCAAGCACTTCGCCCATTTTGAACACAGGGACATCTCCCGTCTAGGGCATTTGTACCAAGACAACGACATTATAAAATTCTCAGATATCAAAGACTCATCCTCACTCACTTCATTCGATCACTTTAGATTCATACAATTGCGCAGCTTCGCAGAGACTCCAATCATAAAACAAGCCGGCACGGCTCAACTCAATCGCTTTGAAAGAGACTGCATTGCGCACCCCAACAGACAAGGACAAATTTCCGACATATATGCAACCTTGGCGACCCACCACACGCAACTGTCTCTCCCATACATAGCGGCGTGGGAGGCAGACCTCGGGCCCCCAGACGAAACAACAGACTGGTCAGACATTTGGGAGGCAACAGCCTCTATCTCCATATGTGTCACACACACGGAGCAAGCTTACAAAATGCTATTCCGCTGGTACCTCACCCCCCAACGCCTGGCCATCATGCACCAAATACCAGCCAACACCTGCTGGAAACAATGCGGAGAGACGGGAACGTTCCTCCACTGTTGGTGGACGTGCCCGAAACTCCAACCACTTTGGCAAGACACCACACGCCTAATCTCCAAACTAATAGACAAACCTTGTCCCGTAGACCCTTGGATGCTCCTACTCTCCAAGCCAATAGACCAATACACTAGAGCTGAAAATAAGCTAGCCGCTCGCATAGCCCTAGCAACACGTAGAGCCATAGCAGAAGTATGGTCAACAAACCGCATACCGACACAAGAAACAATTACAAAGAAGATAATAGATGGCATGCAAATGGATAGGCTCACAGCACAAATTCATGACTCGCCCAAAAAATTCCACAAAATATGGGACCCATGGCTGGAAGGGGACACGACCATCCCGTGGTAACACGGTGGGGTGCTAACGGCCCCTCCCTAGCATAGGGATCCCCCAATCGAGGATATCACACACCTTCCAATAAGAACGACCCTCACCTAACCACAGAGCCCCAAACACCAATCTGGGACCCCCGAGAGGGACCCGCGCGCTGGGTGGCCTGCGGACCGCGAACCCTCCCCCCCCCCATGTCCACCCCGCCCTATTCCACAACCCTTACCCTAAACCACTCCTCGACTTGGACAAGACTGCACCCGTACATAACGAGACAAGACTCACAAAGAGTCGACGAGTGACAAAACCCATCCCTTAAAAACGCAGAAACGACAGGGAACTTAAATAAGCGTTCAAGGAAGATACAATGTCAATACCATGTTGATACGAATGTAAGCTATTTTCAAAATGCAACAGTACCCTGCGTTGGTACTGACATTAAATGTGAAAGTACTATTAAGTCTTGAACAACCCCCACCCACCCCTCCTTTTATTTTCTGTACCCCACTCCCCTCCCTCCTAACTTCAAGGAGAAAACCCTACAAATAAAGAATTAAAAAAAAAAGACCTGCGTAACAAGGTAATGGAACTTTATAAAGATGGAAATGGAGATAAAGAGATATCCAAAGGCTTGAAAATGCCAGTCAGTACTGTTAAATCTCTTACTGAGAAGTGAAAAATTCATGGATCTCTTGATACCAAGCCAAGGTCAGGTAGACTAAGAAAGATTTCAGCCAAAACTGCCAGAAGAATTGTTCGGGATAGAAATAGAAACCCACAGGTAACCCCAGGAGAAATACAGGCTGCTCTAGAAAAAGACTGTGTGGTTGTTTCAAGGAGCACAATACGATAAAACTTGAACAAAAATGAGCTGCAGGGTCGAGTTGCCAGAAGAAGGCCTTTACTGCGCCAATTCTACAAAAAAGTACGGTTACAATATGTCAGACAACACCTTGACACACCTCACAGGTTTTGGCACGTTGTAATTTGGATTGATAAGACCAAAATAGAGCTTTATGGACACAACCATAAGCGCTATGTTTGGAGAGGGGTGAACAAGGCCTATAGTGAAAAGAATACCATCCCCACTGTGAAGCATGGTGGTGGCTCACTGACATTTTAGTGGGAGTGAGCTCTAAAGGCACGGGGAAGCTTGTGAAAATTGATGGCAAGATGAATGCAGCATGCAATCATAGTATATTGGAAGACAATTTGCATTCTTTTGCACGAAGACTGCACATGGGACGTTCTTGGACTTTCCAGCATGACAATACCCTAAGCACAAGGCCAAGTTGACCCTCCAGTGGTTACAGCAGGAAAAGGTGAAGGAGTGGCTAATTCCAGTTTCCTGACCTTAATATCATTGAGCCGCTCTGGGGAGATCTCAAACGTGCGGTTTATGCAAGATGACCAAAAACTTTGAATGACCTGGAGGTATTTAGCAAAGAAGAATGGGCAGCTATATCAAATGCAAGAATTAGGGGCCTCATAGACAACTATTACAAAAGACTGCAGGCAATATACAGTATTAAGAACTAAGTGTATGCAGACTTTTGAACAGGGGTCATTTAGTTTTTTTTTTATTTTGCTGCCATGTTTTGTTTTACGATTGTGTCATTCTGTTATAACCTACAGTTGAAAATGAATCCCATAATAAATAAAAATAAAAAATTGTGTTTTGCCTGCCTTTTTTTTTTTTTTTTTTTTAAATGGTACATATATTATTGTCGTTAAATGGTACATATATTACCAATTCTCCAAGGGTATGTAAACTTTTGAGCACAACTGTAGAAGCACAATGCTAAAGTGCATGTCTAAAACTAAAGTGACAGACTGGGCAGCCTCTACAAATCTGTTGTAGGACGAGGCAATGCCAGTTAGGCCTTGTGCACCCACTCCCTCCTCGCTGAACCCCAATCTAGCCACTAAAGAAGATATCTCTAACCTGTATGAGAAATTCCAGAACGTTTATAGTTCTAGCCCAGACAGGTCTTACCTCGATCTTACCTAGAATGTGTGTATAGTTTTAGCCCAGACAGGTCTCACCTAGTGATCTTACCTGGAATGTGTGTACAGTTTTAGCCCAGACACGTCTCACCTAGTGATCTTACCTGGAATGTGTGTACAGTTTTAGCCCAGACAGGTCTCACCTAGTGATCTTACCTGGAATGTGTGTACAGTTGTTAGTGATCTTACCCAGACAGGTCTCACCTAGTGATCTTACCTGGAATGTGTGTACAGTTTTAGCCCAGACAGGTCTCACCTAGTGATCTTACCTGGAATGTGTGTACAGTTTTAGCCCAGACAGGTCTCACCTAGTGATCTTACCTGGAATGTGTGTACAGTTTTAGCCCAGACAGGTCTCACCTAGTGATCTTACCTGGAATGTGTGTACAGTTTTAGCCCAGACAGGTCTCACCTAGTGATCTTACCTGGAATGTGTGTACAGTTTTAGCCCAGACAGGTGTCACCTAGTGATCTTACCTGGAATGTGTGTACAGTTTTAGCCCAGACACGTCTCACCTAGTGATCTTACCTGGAATGTGTGTATAGTTTTAGCCCAGACAGGTCTCACCTAGTGATCTTACCTGGAATGTGTGTACAGTTTTAGCCCAGACAGGTCTCACCTAGTGATCTTACCTGGAATGTGTGTACAGTTTTAGCCCAGACAGGTCTCACCTAGTGATCTTACCTGGAATGTGTGTACAGTTTTAGCCCAGACAGGTCTCACCTAGTGATCTTACCTGGAATGTGTGTACAGTTTTAGCCCAGATAGGTCTCACCTAGTGATCTTACCTGGAATGTGTGAATAGTTCTAGCCCAGGCATGCCTTAAACCACTTCGGCTCCTTAGAGCTTTATAGGCCAAAGTATAAACTCTATCATCGTCACTTAAAGTTAATTCACGGATTTTGTTCTCTTCCACATCCTAAAATACAACATACATATTTAGAAAAGTTTGGTCAACAATAAGATCCATCATGAACATTCTAATAGTTTCATTACAGCTTTCCAATTTCTGCATCAATAAATATTTTTACAGAATACAAGGAAAGTTAATGCAAACATCCTGCCAAGTAGCAAAACTGACTAATTATATAAAATACTTGGCAAATGGTGTGTAGCCAACATAAACAAGCTGATTTTGTTATTTTGATTTCTGGGATAAAGTATTTGGAAAAAGTGCTACCCTCTACAGGCTGAAGTTTTCGAATTGGTTATAAATTCTGACCGACCGTTATTAGTAATCTAAAAGCCAAATCAAGATGATGACGACAACATGTAGACCAGTTTAATCCATCATCAAATGTGAGTAACTGAGTTACGCACTCCATAAACTGCCCATAACCAAGGGATTATGGGATTCATTTAGCACCTGTAGCACTCACATACATAGCACTGGGAAGGCTGGCAGCCAGCTACCTCCAAGTCTGAGCATCGATTTGCAGGAAAGCTATGCACTGCAAATTGTGAGTATCTTTTTTCGGTGGAATTCACAAATTATAGAGTGTCACCTATGTAATGCATTTAATGCATAGGAAATAGGAGCTAACTGTAGCCTGGAGTGCCCCATTAAAGGGACACTATAAATCCTTCATCTCAAATTCAGCCAATCACAGCCACCATGCTGGTATGAACTGGTAAGGGTAAAATAAGTGTTTAATTTCTGCATGGCCATTCCTCCAGTTAGGGTTGAGCTGTGGGTGGCCAGGGACATTTATTCAGTGTTAAATTGGTTGAACATTGTTTACCATTAAATGGAGGAAAAGCCCCTGGGGACTCCGGGCACTATAACCAATTCATTGAGATGAAACGGTTATACTGCTTGCAATGTCCCTTTAAGAAAAATAAATCATATATAATACTTACATTTGTTATAAAAAATATTTCTCCATTACACAGCCTTTCGTCATCATTCAGTTCCTTTTTAGACTGATCTTCTGAATTGCTTTCATTTGTTGCCTTCGTCGTGCTAGGTTTTTCTTTTTTAATTTCGTTGTTACTAACCAACTGTGTGCAGCTCACATCTTCCCCCAATTCCTCCCTGGAATTCCTGGCAAATAGTGAGAAGTTGAGTAAAATTGTAAAAAGCCCGACAATGATCAATAAACAATGCATCAAGGTTCTTCTAAATAATAGGATAGCCAATGTTATTCTCTAAACTGTGAATAGTCAGGAATTCAAAGTTAAAGGACCACTCTAGGCACCCAGACCACTTCAGCTTAATGAAGTGGTCTGGGTGCCAGGTCCTTCTAGGGTTAACCCATTTTTTCATAATTATAGCAGTTTCAGAGAAACTGCTATAATTATGAATGGGTTAAGCCTTCCCCCAAAGCCTCTAGTGGCTGTCTCATTGACAGCCACTAGAGGCGCTTGCGTGCTTCTCACTGTGATTTTCACAGTGAGAGCACGCCAGCGTCCATAGGAAAGCATTGTAAATGCTTTCCTATGCGACCGGCTGAATGCGCGCGCAGCTCTTGCCGCGCGTGCGCATTCAGCCGGCGGGGAGGATCGGAGGCGGAGAGGAGGAGGAGAGTTCTCCGCCCAGCGCTGGAAAAAGGTAAGTTATTACCCCTTTCCCCCTTCCAGAGCCAGGCGGGAGGGGGTCCCTGAGGGTGGGGGCACCCTCAGGGCACTATAGTGCCAGGAAAACGAGTATGTTTTCCTGGCACTATAGTGGTCCTTTAATGTCAAGTATTAGGCCAGAATAGCTGACTTGCAGAATGTTTGCAATTCCACTATTTTGGCATTACAAAAATGTTACTTACTTCGAATGTCCCACAATTCACACTTTAGTGATCAAGGCTGAGAGTTACTGGAATGTTTTTTTTTTAAGGGTGAGACAGGGAATGCAGCTTAATTAAATTTAGGTCAATCGGCAAGAGACCTGAAGGGTGTATGGCATATTTAACGGAGGTAAATTTGTACTTGCCAGGGCTACATTTTCTCTTGTCCATGGCTAGTGGAAATTTTGAGGTATATTTACATTCATACACACGGGGCTGAAATTGACATTTCAGTCCTGGGGAGCAGAACATGTGTGTGTGTGTATACACACACCATACAACACATTTGAGTTTTATTTATTACTAGGGTGCTGGGGGAATTAAAGTTTAACTACCACTGGTACAATCTGCTAGGGTGCAAAGAGGTTAAAGTAACACTCCAAGCATCGTCATTTTTAAAGTGATAATAAGGGCAGCGGTGTTTTGCATCCCTTCAACTTTAATTGGTCAAGTGTGCAGTGCAGTGAGCCACTCACTGTAAGGCTTATCATAATTCAGGTGTTGAAATATTTAACTCCCCTTATTGCACAGTGTGTTTAATTTAGAATGTATCCTCTGCTCTGTTAAAACTGCCTTCTAGAGCTTACAGCAGCTGCCTCCTGTATGTGTTTCAAGTTCAATCAACCAAGCAGATGAGAACTTCTGTAGTAAACACACATTGCTGTAATAATTAGACATTTTTCTTATGAAAGCTGTGTAAAATAAAGCTAGAGGAGACGAGGCTATATCTGCATAAACAAAATAACTCAAATTTGAAAGGAAGAAAAGGAGGTGTACCAGCGCTAATGTTTCAAAATATTCTGACAATGCACAAGGAATATATATAAAATAGCTGCTATAACATCAAGATATCTTTTAAAAATAGAACTTGTAAAAATGGAAAATAGATGTAGCGCTATATTTAGTAATAGAAATGGAGATAAAAAGGCAATACCTTACAAAGTCTTTACAATATTAAATAAATCTTCCCAGTTTGAGTTTCTAAAAAACACAAAGAAAAAACGGAACGGACATAGTGTATACCGTATAATACAATGTAATAATAGAAAAAAAAGGGGGGTAAAATCCCACTCACACTTTTTAGAGCTATAAAATAATAGCTCAATTTCAGCGTTCTTGGGGTTCAGTAAAGGCAACCCTCACCCTTCTTGAGTTCCAGTGCTTCTGATGTTCTATTAGAATGAAACAGGACAAATGTGGTGCAGTACCGTTGGTCTTTAAGGAAAGATAATAAACCGAGATGGGGTACTTACAAACTTAGAGCCATCCAAATTGGCTCTGATCTGTGCATTTATGTGGATAAGGTCCACACACCTTCTTTAGAAAAAATGTAGCAGGGATAATGCCAATAATGAGTAAAAGTACAATATTTATTATAATAATAACATTATAAAATATATATAAGTATAAAAATATTTTTTATACTTATATATATTTTATAATGTTATTATTATAATAAATATTGTACTTATTTATTATAATAATAACATTATAAAATATATATAAGTATAAAAATATTTTTTATACTTATATATATTTTATAATGTTATTATTATAATAAATATTGTACTTTTACTCATTATTGGCATTATCCCTGCTACATTTTTTCTAAAGAAGGTGTGTGGACCTTATCCACATAAATGCACAGATCAGAGCCGATTTGGATGGCTCTAAGTTTGTAAGTACCCCATCTCGGTTTATTATCTTTCCTTAAAGACCAACGGTACTGCACCATATTTGTCCTGTTTCATTTTAATAGAACATCAGAAGCACTGGAACTCAAGAAGGGTGAGGGTCGCCTTTACTGAACCCCAAGAACGCTGAAATTGAGCTATTATTTTATAGCTCTAAAAAGTGTGAGTGGGATTTTACCCCCCTTTTTTTTCTATTATTACATTGTATTATACGGTATACACTATGTCCGTTCCGTTTTTTCTTTGTGTTTTTTAGAAACTCAAACTGGGAAGATTTATTTAATATTGTAAAGACTTTGTAAGGTATTGCCTTTTTATCTCCATTTCTATTACTAAATATAGCGCTACATCTATTTTCCATTTTTAAAAATAACTCAAATGTCAGAGAATTGAGCAGTAAGAGTGCAGGGGCATGATCTATACACCAACACCGTCTTCATTAAGCGGAAGTTGTTTTGGTGCTTAGAGTATCCTTTTAATGAATGACAGGTAACCTGTGTGCTTAGCTAGCCAGATCACAACGCTGGTGGTAATCAAACAACATTTTGGCTAATTTCACAACCATGTTTAACAGCAACCACCAAAAGGCTGATACTCACTTTGCCTGTAGATCTTTAACATATGCGTTTTTAGTACAGCACACCTTGTCCTTACATTGAAAATCAAACTTATTCCTATGATTCCTGCAAGAAGACAAAACAGAGATCATTATTCCATGATCTGCTAACATGGAAAAAGGATACCAACAAAATGACCTTGAGGCTGTAGGCATCATGGAAGTTGTAGAGTAAAGCTGGGGGTACCTTCTTAGCAACCCTGGTACATTTTTGTTTTTTAAAATATGTTACCGTTACTAAATATGCTAATACTATTATATTGAAAAATCATTTAAGAGAAACTCCCTAAAACATTTAATTGTATGGAGCAGAAGAATTATTTGGGGTCTTCTAATTACAGGACTGTCTCTGAAATTTGGGAATATCAGAAGATATTAAAGAGTAGCTTCCTTTATTCTTCTCTCTCGCTTCACAGGTCTATCTCTTCCTGAACATGACTTCTTTCCCAGAATATCCCTTTCTCACACGCTTGTTTATCACATAAACCATTCTTTATCAATACTTTACCCCAGTCCCTATAACTCAAAGGTTTTGGGATGACCTGAATGGAAAAACAAGTATTTTCTGCATAGTAAAGTTTATTCTACAAGATCAATGGCCTACCAAGGAAGGGAGTATGAGGGGGGAAACCTAAAAACCTGCCATGGACAACACACACACACACATATATATATATATATATATATATATATATATATATATATATATATATATATATATATATATATATATATATATATAAAAAATAACTTACTTGATATTATGTCTGGAATAATGTTTACAGCAGAGTTCATTTATTAACATACAATCTCTCCTAGAAGAAAAAACAAAGACAAGACAAACATTAAAAAATAAAGAAATAGGAGATAAAGCAATTATCAGGAGACACCGGATGGAAAAATCGATTAACCTTTCAAATGTATTGACTGGAGCGCTTGGAGGTGGAATATCGGTAGCCTAAACTGCATTCCGATCCTGCAATATCTCTCTTGCCAATAAAAACAAATTAGTCAAAGTTGGTGTGCAATACCAATTAAATTGATTTTGCACATCAGTTTAGTGGTTGATTGATTTGTTTTTATTGGCAAGAGATACATTGCAAGATAATTGTGCACTGTTTTAATGGATATTGTGCACCAATGTATGGGTTGTTTGTTAGGAATCGGTTTACCAGGGTGTTTTTTTTTTGGTTGCTGCATGTATTAATTAGTGATACAGAAGGTAATTGTATACTAAGGTGTGGAAAGCATCCATCTCGAGAGGGCGGAGAGAGCAATGACATGACATCACAACGCCACGCACGCAGACAGGTGGAGCTGGAGCAGTCACGGGACCAGGGAATGAACGCCGTGAATTTCCTTTTTACCCCTGCTAAACAGATTATCACGGGAGCAGAGTTTGGGTAACCAGGAGGATTACTCTCAGAACCCGAAGCTAAAAAACAAGGGAAAGTACAGGAATATCCCTACCGAGTGAAGCTGTATCTGGAATTTTGTTTTTTGTCCCATGTGGAGAAATGGCGCCCTGAAGCAAAGACGGGGAATAGAAATAAGTTAAAAGATATTGCAGATTAAAACAAGCGAAGCAGGAATAAATGGGGAGAGGAGAGAAAAGAGGAACAGTGACCAAAAACGGCTAGCTGAAAGCAGGTAAGTGAAGTCAAATATTTTGGGATTTTCCCATATATGTCTGAAATGATTTGATACATTTTATTTGGTCTAATCTGCTATAGATGGTGTAGGGGAGATAGAAAAAAAAGAGAAAATAGACAGATAACTAAAGGAAAGGGAAATCAAGATAGATTGTGTTATTGCAGTTAAAGTCTAAGATATTTAACAGTGACACTCGAAGCTGTGGGCAAAGAGAGAAGTGCTTTTTGAAGTAGCAAAGATATTGTTTGTTTTTGTATTTTTCATTTTTTCACTGATAAATATCTTCCTATTATGTGTTTAAGGGAGAAGGACATATATGTAAAAGCACAGAGAGTGTGTGTAAGAGGGATTTTGATAAAAATACATATCCCAATTTAGCAGAAATCCCCACTGGATATCAGAGAAAATTGCTCTTTGTACCATTAAAAGTTATATTTGAAAGTAATCCACCACACCCGATCTAACTGGTGACAAACCGCATAATTATTCTCTCTTTTAAGAGACATACGGTAATTAAGGACGTCAAACAAAGTAAAGGACATACTAAAACTTAGCTGTGGGAACTAAAAAAAGTTTTGTTTCTTTTTAAAAATCCAACAGAAAATAAATCACAAACAAAAAAGACGAAAGCTAAACCTGAAAAACGGTTATCATTTTTTACTCCCAACACCACAAATATAAGTATGGAGAAGTCAATTTGCAGAAACAACAATATATCCGACAGATGAATGAGAGAAAGAAAAAATAATATCTACAAAAGAACAACCTTTGACACATCTTACGAATGCACTTGGGAAAATAAAAAATTAAATTCATCTAAATATACAAGATTTAGGAAAGGACATTGTGACATTAGGAAATAAAATCAAAGAAAATGAAGAAAAAATTGCAAGTCCGGAGACAAAGTCTGGCATATAGAGAAATAAATATACAAAATGAGAAGAAAATTGGAATGCTGGAACAAAAAAAATGCTGGACAAAATAATTTAAGAGTAAGAGCAATATCTGAATCTATTACATGGAGAGAGAAAAATGAAAGATTTGTTTTCTAAATTGGGAGTGACAAGAAGGCTATGCACATTTATGGGAGAGATGCCATAGAACGGGAAAGGCACCTGGTTCAGCAGGTGATCCACCTAGAGACATTCTATCTTTATCCTCGTTCGGGGTGAGGGAGAAAATATTAAAAGCAAAGAAGACAACTGTATTATAAGAACCATACCACAGAAGCATAATTTTACAGACTTATTTTTTTACAAGAATCAAGAAATGGTTATTTGCAACAAAAACACTCCGGAAAAAAAACCCATTAGATATAAGTGGGGGAACCCAGTAAAGAGAATTCTCGCATATGATTTTAAAACACTCATTCGACACTCCCAAAAAAGAAAGAATATGGGCATTAGATAACAAAATAATAGATCCTATATAATGGACTGATGAATGTTGTTTTTTTTTCTTTTTTTTTTCTTGTCTTGATCTTATTTTGAAATTGGATATACAAAAAGAGGTGGAAGAAAAGAAATTAATGAGATATTTATACAATGGAAAAGGAACTGATATTTTCAAAAATATTTAGACAACAATATTAGAATCTATAAGAATATGGGTTAATAAGAATTAATTATGATTCACATTAAATAATTGTCTGTATTTCACTGAATAAGACACTAAATAGAAATAGAAGTGAATGCTATATGAAAAGTAGTTCCACAAAAGTTATATATAGATAACACATGGAAAGTGAGAAAAATGTAGATAAAGGAAAAAGAAAATCTATCCAATGAAATTCAAGATCTTAAAAATAAGAAACAATTTGTAAGTGGAAAAACTAATAAAACGTTATATTCTTTAAAAACCCTATGGTACTACAAGGGGAATAAAGCTTATATAATTTTATCCAATAAACTAAAAACAAAAGCGAAAACAAAACTCTCTCTAAAATTGTACATGAAGGTAAAACATATCTAGCACCAAACTAAATAGGTAAAACTTTTTGTAAATATTAGGAGTCACTTTATAATTTACAAGGGATAACAGGAAATAAAATTGAGGAACATATTAAACATATGGATTTACCAAATCCATCTAGTGAGATATTAGAGCAGCTAAATAGACCTTTCACAGAAGAGGTATCCCAAACTATAAGAAAACAAAAATCTTGGAAAGACCCAGGACCAGATGGTTTTAATGTTTCTTTCTATAAACTATTTACAAAAGAATTGGCCTCGTAGATGCTTTCAATAATTTTGCCGATAAAGGAGCCATACCTGAAGAATTGCTGCAAGGAAATATAGTACCTATTCTAAAGCCAGCTAAAAACCCAGAAGAAATCACCAGCTACTGACCAATCTCTCTTCTAAATTCAGATGTAAAAATATATGCAGCCATAATAGCAGAGAGGTTAAAAGTAATATTAGATATAGTGATTCATAATAACCAAGTAGGATTTGTCCCAGCAAGATCTCCAACTGGACACATGAGATAACTCAAATATATGAATATAAATAAATATTTATTCAATCCCGATTAAATGGCGTGCCCCAGCTGACTGTCATTGGATGCTGAAAAGGAATTTGACAGGGTTGGCTGGGGATATATGGCGGAATCGTTGAAGGCATATGGATTAAGGGGAAGAATATTTGAAGTAATAACGTCACTATACACTAAACCAGGAGGTAATAGGATCTGGTATTGTATCACCATGGTTTTATTTAACGAACGGAACACTTTATCACCCTTGTTGTATATCCTCACAATAGAACCTTTAGCCAGGAAAATAAAAACCCATACTAAAATTCAAGTATTTAATAAAATGAATACACAGATAATTAAATTACATGCCGGTGACATCCTATTGACTGTTGAAGATCCTTGTAAAATCAATAGACGGGATTATGGATTGTATAAAAGAATATTCTTTATTATCTAACTACAAATTAAATGAAACAAAATCTATAGTAATCCCCTTAAATATGTCTAGAACTCAAATAAATTATCTGAAAGATAAATATAATTTTAAATGGGAAAACAATCAATTTACATATTTGGGTATCAAAATATCAACTAAACCTAGTGAATGGATGGAAATACATTTACTCCCACTAATAAAGGATACGAATAGATCATTTAAAGAATGGAGAATGATGGAAATTTCCTGGTGGGGGAAAATAAACACAGTGAAGGCATATATGCTCCTCAAGTTTATGTATATATTCAGAATGGTTCCTTTTAAAATTCCAACTCCATGGCTAAATATGATCCAGACCGCATTTTCTAGATTTAAATGGGCTGTTAAGAAACTCAGATTAAATTTACAACTACTTGCTTAAAAAAAAATAAAAAAAAAAAATATAGGAGGACATGGAATACCAATTGCTCAAGAATATGCAGACGTGCTTTATTAGTACATGCGGTGATATCACAAATAAATAGAGCTTTTAGAAACATAGAATGTGATGGCAGATAAGAACCATTTGGCCCATCTAGTCTGCCCAATTTTCTAAATACTTTCATTATTCCCTGGCCTTATCTTATAGTTAGAATAGCCTTATGCCTATCCCACGCATGCGTAAACTCCTTTTCAGTGTTAACCTCTACCACTTCAGCTGGAAGGCGTTTCCATGCATCCAATACCCTCTCAGTAAAGTAATCCTTCCTGATATTATTTTAAAACCTTTGCCCCTCTAATTTAACTCTATATCCTCTTGTTGCAGTAATTTTTCTTCTTATTAATATAGTTTCCTCCTTTACTGTGTTGTTTCCCCCCTGTCTCGTCTTTCCTCCAAGCCATATATGTTAAGATCCTTTAACCTTTCCTGGTAAGTTTTATCCTGAAATCCATGAACCAGTTTAGTAGTCCTTCTCTGAACTCTCTCCAAACTATTAATATCCTTCTAGAGATACGGTCTCCAGTACTGCGTACAATACCCCAAATTAGGTCTCATCAATGTTCTGTACAATGGCATGAGCACTTCCCTTTTTCTACTGCTAATACCTCTCCCTATACAACCAAGCATTCTGCTAGCATTTCCTGCTGCTCTATTACATTGTCTGCCTACCTTTAGGTCATCAGAAATAATCACCCCTAAATCCCTTTCCTCAGATGTTGAGGTTAGGACTCTATCAAATATTCTGTACTCTGCCCTTGGGATTTTACGTCCAAGATGCATTATCTTGCACTTATCCACATTAAATGTCAGCTGTCAACTCTGATCAGTTGGTAGCTAATAGAAATGAAAGATTTTAAACCTCAACACTTGGAAATCACAGAATTTTTTGAAATCTTCAAACATAATAGAAGGGAACATAGCTTTAAACCATATTCTGGCAAATTCGTATATATATATATAAAAATAAAGCTAAGATAAAAGACAACGTTTTACCTTGTCTACCTTCAGAAATTATAAGTGGCTTAATGGAAAATATAGACCTTCAACCATGGATAAATAAAGGAATCATAGAAATTCATAATTTAATAGAGAGAAATAAAATCATTCGCTGCACTCCAAACAGAAGTTAATCTTGGTGATCAATAAATATTTAAATATCTCAGAATTAAAGGTTTTCTAAATGATAAATTGTATATTAAAAGGGACACTATAGTCACCTGAACAACTTCAGCTTAATGAGGTTCTTCAGGTGAGAACTATAGCTCCCTGCAGCCTCTCTCATGTAAACACTGTATGTTCTGAGAAAATACAGTGTTTACATTGAAAGCTAGGAACACCTCCAGTTGCAGTCACTCAGAGTGAACCAGAGGGACTTCGGAGTTGATGGAGGCATAATATGCCTCCATCCACTCAGATCTGCTGTCAGCAGAGCACCAGGCAGCACTGTGCACAGCATCCTGTGATTCAGTATCTCCTCCCACTGCATGCAGACACTGAATTTTCCTCATGAAGATATGCTGATTGGCCAGGGCTGTGTTTGAATCATGCTGGCTCTGCCCCTGATCTGCCTCTTTGTCAGTCTCAACCAATCCTGTGGGGAAGCACTGTGATTGGATCAGGCTACCACATGTCAGCAGACTGCTTGTTTTTCTGAGTATAACAGCATGCAGATTTACAGCTTCAGGCTTGAATACAGTAAGATATTTACTATATTTATGGAGGCATGAGGGGCCCAGAGGGGCTAGATGGTGGTTTTAACACTATAGGGTCAGGAATACATGTAGTTGCACTGGTGACTATAGTGTCCCTTTAATGATAATTCTCAAATGTCGACATTTTTAACAAAATGTTTAGACAAAATGATTATAAACATTTAATAACAAAATGTCTTGAAATTATTGAAATATGTAAAAAAAGGCATCCCAATTACTGCTATAATAAGATGGTAGGAGGATTTACAGATCCAAATTAATGAAGAAGAATGGAATAAGGCATTAAATATATGTTACAGAGCGATACACTGTCTGAACCTTAATGAAACACAGTATAAATTGGTAAATCGTTGGTATAGAGTCCCCAAAAAGTATTAATAGGATATTTCCAAATGCTTTACATAATTGTTGGAGATGTGGGGATCAATATGCTGATCATATGCAGTGTTAGAAGGATTAAAAAGATCTGTTAGAAGGAGAAAATGTATGGTAATTGGGACATATATAAAAACCTTGTACAATAAAAGAAAAAGAATAAAGATGGTAAAGGGAAATGAATAGGGAATAGGAAACAGGAAAAATGATATTTAGCATTAATATGCTGTTTTTTCCTAGCACCTAATTACCTTAAGATTAATCAGAGCAAGCCTCAATATCTGCCATTGTATTTATATATTTTTTGTTGTTTTTGATGTTTTAATTGTTCGGTGAAATATAAGAATATTGAAAATGTCCGTATTCATATATGATATATATTGGAATTTTTAATATTAAGATTTTGTACGGGATTCATTTTTGATAAATAAAAAGTAAAAATAAATAAATACATTTTTAAAAAGAAGGTAATTGTATAGGTACTTTAATATCAATTTTTTGCCATCTTCTTCATATTTCGGTGTTATTCTGAATTCCTGATACTCCCTTATGGAATGTTGAGCTCTACCCTTCCTTGCAGATATCAATACTCCAGTCTGAGACAAGCTTCAATGCCATCATATGAATAGCTGCTATGCCATCATGCCAATATGGTTTGCTAAGAATCCAGCAGTTATTAAAGGCACACTCTGACAGCCACGAACACACAGTATAAGAATTCATTTTAAATCTACACAAATACACTTTGTCAAAGTGGTTTTGCTAAAAATCAGTTGGTGAATAATTTATGTGGATTATGTACGTTATGTGCACTTTGCTTATGCTTTTATTTATCCAAGTCCTTTGTCATTTTACTTTGGCTATATTATTATTGCCATTTATATGGCGCCAACAGATTCCGTAGCGCTTTACAATATTATGAGAGGGGGGATTTAACAATAAATTGGACAATTACAAGAAAACTTACAGGAACGACAGGTTGAAGAGGACCCTGCTCAAACAAGCTTACAGTCTATAGGAGGTGGGGTATAAGACACATTAGGACAGGATGGAAGAATAAATGTTTTTGAAACTTTTGATGTGTGATAAACCTTGAATATAGAGTTTTACCTACACAAAGTGTCCAGGAGTGGCCAGTGGAGGCATCCCTAGGCTGTAATGTAGACATGGCCTTTTCTCTGGGAAAAAAACGTGTGTACTGAAAAAGGTATTAAGGGAATGATTCTACACACCAGAACAAACACAACAAGCTGTAGTTGTTCTGGTGACTGTAGTGTCCCACTGAAATCTAGTAAAGATTATTCAATGAAAAATAGACACATATTACTAAGTATCAGCAGAGTTTCCGCTTGTTATTTAAAAGAAGAGCAGATTCCAAGAGAGGAAGAGAAGAGGAAACAATAGGAGAAAGGCAAGTTTGGCGTGACAGTGACACTTTAAGATTACTGAAAGTGTGAGAAAAGCTAAAGGATCTGTTTTCTCAGAAACACACTTAAAGAATACCCTGATATTATACCTAGACATTAGCTGTGCCAGCAGCACTAACCTACAGATTATACCTAGACATTAGCTGTGCCAGCAGCATTAACCTACAGTGTATCAAAAGTTATAAGGAGAAAACAGACAGCTATTCTAATCAGCATATGGAGAGACGAGAGTGCACGTCCAAGGTCAATCTCAAAACTGAGCTTAAAGGTCCTAACAGTTTATTAAATATTACATTCAACCTAAATCCACAGCGTATTAGATAAGGAAGCCTCCCATACCTCAATTGCCAGGTTAATGAGGACCTGGGACCTACAATACCAACATGAAACTTACACTTAGACTACATAGTGTGAGACACAAGGAATTGCACTATCTGGATAAAACACTTACCAGCCGAATGAATAATTACCTTCTAAATGCAATAAACTGAGATGTTTTATCATCCTGTAATCCTGGTCCTTCCTTTAGAAGTTTCTCTATGGCAACCTGGAGATCTGATATATAAGATCAAAACATATATAAATAAAAAGATCCAACGACATTACCATTATTTGTTTTAAAGGGGTATGAAAAGACTTGTTGTAAAAACAATTGGTGATTAATGACAAAATACTGTCAAGGTTATTCACCAAAGTGAGAATTGAAATGGAATTTCATTTTGTCGGACAAAATGGAAAACCAAAAGCTATTAGAATTTTTCCAATTCACCTTTTGGGCCCTAGAATTTTAAATCCACTTTAAGTTCACATCAATTCACAGTTTAGCAAATAATCCCCTATTCCACACCAGTACAGACATTGTGGTATTCCAAAGGTATCTCTTCTACAGGATAGGTCAAATCTTGAAAAAAATTATAAGGGGAGAAAAAAAAAAAAGAAAAGGAAAAAAAAAGAAAAATATCAAAATAAATTGATAGATTGAAGAAAAGCATAATTAATTGCAGGTCCACAGACACATGATCACACAAAATATATACATGAAAAATGTGAATTGCTTGCAAGAATGGCATATTATTGGAAAGTTATAAAAATTACAACTATGTCCTGCTACATTAGAAAGGCTTACCATAGTCACTGCCATTGGGCAAAGAAATGAAAATAAATTTCTTATCTTCGCTGGGTATTTCAACTTCCACACCACGGGAGAGATCTATAATAGCATCGAACTCAATTGGGTTTTGCTGAGAAATTCTGGATAAAAAACACACACATAGCAAAGTCTATAATATAGCATACAATTACAAAAAGAGAAGTCCTGCGCTCACTCCCATCACTCCTGGGCAGCAACAATGACCACAGTACACATCAGCCCCAATATATAGTTAAACACCAAAGGGAAAAAAAACAAGTTGCCTGTGCTCTCTCCTTAATCCCTATGTATATTTAGACAAATGGAGGTCATTTAGTTACTCCAGTGGCCATTGGAGGGAATGCTGCCTGCCAACGTCAAGGCAGACCCCCCTAAGCAGGTCCTACACTGACCCTTCACCTTGCTTCCTTGAGATTCTGGCAAATATATCTCCACTGAGACAGAGACGGGTATTTTTTATATACACCCCAATATATTAACTTATTAACACTTAATAGGGAACACATGGGATGGGCGGCTGCATTGTAACAAAGCTGTGTGATACAAAAAGTGAATACAAATACAAAAAGAGAAGTCCTGCGCTCACTCCCATCACTCCTGGGCAGCAGCAATGACCACAGTACACATCAGCCCCAATATACAGTTAAAAACCAAAAGAATCCCTATGTTCATTTAGACAAATGGAGGACATTAAGTTACTCCAATGGCCATTGGAGGGAATGCCGCCTGCCACGTCAATATAGAATGTATTAAGCTTAATAGCTGCAACAACATGTTTTAAAAGGTTCCCCACATTCAAACCAGGTTTTTTTTTTTTGCATGACTTCACATAACCTACACTATTTCCCATTGAATTAAGTCACCCATCACCTAGAGCAGTGGTTCCCAACCCAGTCCTCAAGTACCCCCTAACAGTCCAGGATTTAGGGATTACCCAGTTGTTTTTAAAGTGTTTTTAGAAAAGAAAGAAGAAAGAAAAAAAACACTTTAGACACAACAGGGTAATCCCTAAATCCTGGACTGGTAGGGGGTACTTGAGGACTGGGTTAGGAATCCCTGACCTAAAGGAAACAACCTATGACCCACTTACATTACACTTCATCGAGCGTAAAGCGGGTTCTGTGCGAACCATCTGCATTTTCTATTTTGCATTTTTTATAACCCTATTCTTTTTAATTGAAAGGGACACAGCTGTGCAATTTAGTGCGTATGGTGCCAGAGTTCCTGGTGCTGCAGAAAAGCCATTTCTAAATAGTTTGATAACGGATTCCGATTGGCACGTGTGCTGCTTCAAAGTCTGTTAAGTGTAAATTCACATGTCCGCATTATTATACCTAGATTGGACATTATTCATTGGTTGAGTGTCAACTAATGGCTCCCAGCCAGTAACCAAGGTCCAAACTTGGTATGAGTTGGTGTGGTAATGTGGTTCTGCTTTAACGTAGCTGTGCATACCAAAATCAGCGCAGGTACTCAGCGGATCTAGTTGCTCAGAAGGTCCTGTTTTGTGTTCTGACGCAAACGTAAGAATACAATTGTAACACAGGCAACTTCTATTAAGCAAGGTGCCAGCACAGGCGTTTCAGAAAGACAATGGTGCTGAGGATAGCTCAGAAAATGGAGAAAAATCTTACTGATTAACTTTGAAAATCTATAGTACTTATTGTTCAGAAAAATATATGAATATCAGAAGCCAGGATTACAGGCTTCCCTGTTTCATTGATATATAAAGGCTGAGAAAATATTACGACACTTTGATGGCACTGCCTGTACAAAATATATTTGGATTTATTTTCTTCCATATATTTAATAATGCAGAGACGGTAAAGCCTTACAAAGTGCCTTATCAGTAGTTCAGGAACATTGGACTATACATTTATACAATGCAGTCTGTATATTTTCAATACTCATGGGTGCCCTCGGATTTCTATCAGCATCAATTTTCCCTGCAACGTGCACGGTGAGACTATTTTATTTATATTCTTAAGTATTATCTTCAAGTTCTCTAGCATGAATACCAAAATCTAACAAGCTGATCATTATGTATGCCGTTGGGAAAGTAGAAAACTGGGTAATGTTAAGAATGGCATGAGAATTATTAACAATGACAGTAACCTTTGTAAAAATTACACTGAGTTAGACAACAGGAATATTTCACTTGCTAAAAGATCGTATTTTAGAAGCTGGTCCTAGAAGCCAGGGAATGGATTTCCAGCAGCATTCTAAAATATTCTATTTATTATGAGCAGTGGCGAGATATATTCAAAGACAATTATCTGATATATTAGATATCATATTATGTATAGTCTCTCCTTTCTATCAGAGAAAGACAGAGCACACTTATACAGGTTTCACAATATCTCATTCAACATGTATTTCCACGTTCTTACCTTGTAGCATTGTCAACGATGAGCTGGGACTCTGCTCTGTGATTCGTTCTAAGCTCAACTGCCCACTTCATTTTATGTAGAACTGTAAATATATCTGCAAGCAGGTTTCCAGGCTGAATGCTGGGTAATTGTCTAACATCTCCTGTCAATAATTAAAAGAGGCAATGTATGAGACATGTTGCATAACATTTTTAAACCACAGACTACCAGTAAAATTTCATGAAATGGAAATAAAGCGTACCTGTCACGGCACACACTACTTAGGTTAAAATTGCATTTCGTCGCTAGATTGTGCTAGCAGAACATGCAAGTAGATATATAGATTTTAATTTAATAATTTCTAAATATGGTCACACCCCTTCCTGTCAATCAATCCTTGGCATAAGACCTCTAAAACCGACAGCATACGTGTCTAAGTTGAGGACCAAGTAAGATGTAAGGAGGTTCTCTTGCTCCCGGTCATCATGCTATTCCTACAGCAAATGTTTTGTTTGTTCCGTCGTACAGGTCTATGGGTCAGGATAGAAGCATGGGGCTCACTAGAAGCCGCTAAGTCCTAATGATTCTAGCACAGACTGAAAGACGGTGCCTGGGAAAGAAGGTAGGGCTTGCAAAGGCTGCAGAAAGCAGGTCTGCAGCTTTTCATATACTCCCTAAGAAAACATGCAGACAAAAATATGTGGATGTGTTCTTGGGGATAGATGTTCTAAATTGTTAAACCTTGATGTTGCTATGGTTCCAGGAGCAAAACAGCTTTCCCTCTTACCCGGGTCCCCTATACACCTGCAGTACTGCTGGTCTTTTCGGTACAACTAAAGCTATAAGCGCAATATTTTCATACACTTTAGTTACATCAATAATGTGCAACTTGTAGTAGCAAATAACCAATAAACGAAGCGAAGAAAAAAAAAGTTATGGTAAAAACATTAAAAAGTTAAAATATTGGGGGTGGGGCCTGACCGCCAAGCAAGCAGGATGCAGGCTGAGGGACCTCCTCAGATAATCCTGTGATATAAGCTCAGAAAACGAGAAATAATTAGTTTGAGCAGCGGAAATCGCCTCATGACTTGTGGAGACAGCATTGACAATCTCCTAGACCAACTTGACACGCTTTGCTCAACGTTTGAGGGGCATGAAGCTCCTTGCGGCCTGCTATCTAATCTGAGGCAGGAGACGCGGCCGATCTCCCGCCTTATTCTCAACACGACCGCGGTCTGGGACACATTCCCAATATGAAAAATAACATATTTAGAAGGAGGAAACATACCAAGTAGTATTAATCTCGTCAACTTTCCATATTGAGTAAGTAATCTTAAAGCAGTGCTCAAAATATTAACAGACACAAGGCTTCCTTCATCTACAACTAGAACTTCCACTCTGGAGAACTTCCACTTTGTCTTGCTTTCAGGATTCTCTTCATGATGTTTTTTCCAACGGGAGTAACTGCAGGTCACCTAAAGAAAGTCGCAAAATTATTATTATTATTTATATAGCGCCAGCAGATTCTGTAGCGCTGTACAATGGGTGGACTAACAGACACGTAATTGTAACCAGGAAATTGGACGCACAGGAACAGAGGGGTTTAGGGCCCTGCTAAATGAGCTTACATGCTAGAGGGAGTGGGGTATAGTGACACAAATAAGAGGTAGAGGTAATGAAATAGGTTGCTAGAAAAGTATTCACTGAGAACTTATTTTTGACAGTTGCAGGAGAGGAGTCATTGTGGGGGGGAAGGGGGGAGAGGGGTGGTGAAACCCCACTAACAGTTTAAATGATTTGCTTTCCTGAAGAAGTGTGTTTTCAAATATTTTTTAAGGAGTGGAGACTGGGTGAAAGTCTAACAGAGAAGGGAAGGGAGTTCCACAGAAAAGGTGCAGCCCTGGAGAAGATGAGCATCAGATGTGGGAGCATGGACAGAGGATAAAGGATAGACGTAGGTCTTCGGGAGAGAGCAGGGACCTCGACGGGACATACTTGTGCATCAGGGAGGATAGGTAGGTTGGAGCTGCAATTTTACCTTCATTTTTATCAACATTCTACGGAATGTCATTTGTCTTTGCACCATCACATCCGGATTACTACAACATGTAAAAATTAATGCTTGTTGCCTATGATGAGCATGCCATTGCATTTTTTTTTAGAAAACCTCTACATGGCTATTTCTATGAGGCCTCACAAGAGAGGGAAAAATAAATAGCCTGATATTACTGATCATGTCAAGACAAGCAAAAATATAGCATTTTTGGAGGCCATCATGCAAGGTACGTTGGGTTTCACAAAATGTAAGTGATGTATTCTGTACAGTGATCATTACAAAGAATTTAAAAACAAAATTTTTCAATGATCATCTTACAATATATTTGAAAAGTTATTTTGCCTGAATAATGCCGTCTAAACTTTGCTTTTACAGAAACCTAAATAACATTTTTGAGCTTTAGCATGGCACAGCGAGATGACTATATTGATGAAATAGCAAAAGGCAGCAGTATGACATTTAAATTTCCACATTCGGCTGTTTAACCCCTTAAGGACCAAACTTCTGGAATAAAAGGGAATCATGACATGTCACACGTCATGTGTCCTTAAAGGGTTAAACTGAAAGTTAACTATGTGAAACCCATCCACAAACGCCAAATCCAATTATTTCAGATATCATTTTCATTTCAATTCAACTAGCTGTTAAAAACAGTAGAAAGTTTGATAACTTGGCTATTTATAAACAGCCTAATAGTAACCAAATTCCATTAACTTGTTAGGTCCCATGAATGAGACCAGTGATATTGTACCCATAAATCTTAGTTTTTCTACACTGGCTGTGCCAGCAAATTAAAGAAAAAAAAATAGCAAAATTAATCTCAATTTTGTAAAATAAAATAGCACAGCATTGTTAATTTGGTAAAACCACTGATCATGTAACATATCCCCTCTAATGCCGTATTTACCTGATGCAAGGTAGCAGCAGGGAGGTCTGTTTTTTTCTTTAAAAGAGACGCTGCTTTCCCTGTGGGTGCTGTAAGTAAAAAACGTATAGGACCATCGCTTTTAAAGTTATGCGGTATGTGGTCACATGTCCATTCATCAGACATATTCATATCGCTCTCAAATGCTTTAGAGCACATTTTAACCTCTTCATCTTCCTTCGAAATCAGGGATTTAAACACAAGGCTCACAATAGTGGTTTTTCCGCATCCTCCTTTCCCACTTATGACAGTTACTGGGTTAGAACATATCAGTCTGACAGCTTTTTCCTGGTCTTCATCCAAAACGTCTGAAAAAGAGTTTGCACTGGTAGGAGGACAGTCCATTATCTTTAAGGCTTTTATACACTCATCGGAAGTCTGATCTGAACTGGAGGAGACTCCAATATCATTCTCTGTATTAGAGTCGTCTTGAGGTTCTTTGGCCTGATTAAAAGAAGCAAATCTAAACACTTCTTCGGGCTCAATATTCAATATCTGGGATTCGTTCACTATAAGTTCGTGGACATATTCAGCAATATCCATTTCATACTGGTAAAGATTGTGGAGAAAAACCCGCTGGCCTTCCATTACTACAATACCATTATCTTTTAAAAACTTCAGTGCATCCCATGCTTGATCTGCAGCCATGCTTTCTGATACAGCTTTGGTAATAGCGGTCTGTTCGATGTAGGTGTCCCCCAACTCATTGCACTTTCTCTTCAGTTCATTATAAATAATTAGTGCATGTCTCTGTAGGTCAGGAATGTTATTCACAAGAGAGCCACATGATAGAAAATGTTCCCAGGATGCCTCACAGTGATAAAGTTTTAGTTCCCTACTGACGAGCTGTATAAAACAAAGACACAATGGAAAATGCAGTTACAATTTCTTTACAGGTGGTTTCTTCATTAAAAGGACCACTCTAGGCACCCAGACCACTTCAGCTTAATGAAGTGGTCTGGGTGCCAGGTCCAGCTAGGGTTAACCCATTCTTTTATAAACATAGCAGTTTCAGAGAAACTGCTATGTTTACACTGAGGGTTAATCCAGCCTCTAAATCCTCTAGTGGCTGTCTCATTGACAGCCGCTAGAGGCGCTTGCGTGCTTCTCACTGTGAAAATCACAGTGAGAAGCCGCCAGCGTCCATAGGAAAGCACTGTAAATGCTTTCCTATGAGACAGGCTGAATACGCGCGCAGCTCCTGCCTCGCATGCGCATTCAGCCAATGACGTCGCTAGGAAGGAGGAGAGGAGGAGGAAAGCTCTCCGCCCGGCGCTGGAGAAAGATAAGATTTTAACCCTTTCCTCTCCCCAGAGCCCGGCGGGAGGGGTACCCTGAGGGTGGGGGCACCCGAGTATGTTTTCCTGGCACTATAGCGGTCCTTTAACCCCTTAAGGACACATGACATGTGTGACATGTCATGATTCCCTTTTATTCCAGAAGTTTGGTCCTTAAGGGGTTAAACTGTGTGGTGAATCGAAAATTACGTCAAAGTTGGACATGTAGATATTTTTTATTTATTTATTTATTTAAATACTACTTTGGACTAGGTTTTACAATTCGATTTTCTGTTTCAAGGAAAGGTATAATGTCCTTAACTGGAAAATGGTCAACAGCTAGATAGAAAAGATCTACCAGTTGTGCAGATTTTGAAGATTGTCTAAAACACTTTAGGCAAATCTAGAGAACAAGGAAAGGAAATTATGATGAATGAAATGTTCAAGGACCACTATAGTGTCAGGACAACAAACTTGTTTTCCTGGCACTATATAATCTTTAGGTCCATCCCACCCTCAGGGCCCACCTCCCACTGGGCTGAAGGGGTTAAAACCACTTTAGCCCCTTACCTTTATCCAGCGCCGGGCTCCCTCAGCGCTGGTGACCTCTCCCCCACTCCGACGTCGGCTCCCAAGTGGAGCCGAAAGCGCACGCGTGGATTAAAAACGCCCATAGGAATTAATGCTCTTAATGCTTTCCTATGGACGTTCTGCGTGCGCAATGCGATTTTCGCATTGAGCGTCGGGGAAGTGCCTCTAGCAGCTGTCAGGAAGACAACCACTAGAGGCTGGATTAACCCTGCAATGTAAACATAGCAGTTTCTCTGAAACTGCTATGTTTACATTGCAGTGTTAAAACCTGGGGGACCTGGCACCCAGACCACTTCATTGAGTTGAAGTGGTCTGGGTGACTATAGTGGTCCTTTTAATAACTGAAGTGTTACAAACTGGAATGAAAAAGGATTTTATTACAATGTTTATAGTTTGACTCGTACAACATGCCTAAAACATACACAATGAAAAATATTTCTATTGTGACACTAAAATGCTTAACACAAAACAAAAACACACATTTTGACACATTTGTTTGCATAGGTAACCACTACCCTAAGTCAAGATTTGATATAACCCCCTTAGCTGCAATTAAACATGACAGGGTTATTTCACGAAAGTGACAATTGCCGAAAAGGCAAAAGGAAATTTAAAGTGAATTTCAGACATAAGGTTAAGCCGACAACAGAATGGTCTTGGAGAAGGTTTCTAACCGGGCTATTCTGGCGTAAAATCTCAAATTTACTTAGGGTTCAATGTGAATCCCAGCATCTCTTACCTTAGTGAATAACGGAGTCTTTTTGAGGTAAGTTTCTAACATGCTTGGCATGTCTGAATCTTAAATTTTTTTAAACATTCCTCAACTTGTCTATTTAAAAATGGGTTTTTGGTTCCTTTTTCTTTAAATAGTCTATAAAAGAATAGGCATAAAATACACTTACCAATCCAAAACCAAGCTTCCAGGGTTCAGAACATAGTAAGTCTTCAATTTTTGGCAAGATATCTGAAAGATGGTCGTGGGAGCTACTAGATTCATTTCCACGCTGCTTTTGCTCAACCATTAGTAAACTTTTCACATGGCGTGGTAAAAGTCTGGGTAAGTATCTCAATACCAATGGGATGTCCCGGGCTCGCAATGCAATGCTACCTTGGACTGTAATCGAAATGTCACATTTAATCACAACAAAATCATTAATTTTACTATTCAAAAAAATAAATAGAATGATCAATAGTCAATCATTAATAATACTTACTATTCAAAATACAATAAAAATAGAATAGAATATCAATCATCAATAATGTTTACAAAACAAAATCAATATTTTTATAAAATATAAAGTACATATGCCATGCACCAGGAGCATTTAAGTACAACAATTAATGCACAAATCCAAAACATCTGTCAGCTGTGTGCAAATCCACATAGATTTTATTATATTTGCACTATTGTTACTGAAACTGTATGTATCTGTTCTTTACAATCTATTCTATTATAGAACACTTAAATCACCTATACAGTATACATACAGAGAGGGCATGATTTCATCTCACCATGCAACAAGTATTAAACACATTTTAATACAAAAATTATACAAATAAATAAAAAAAGTTGAAGACAAATGTTTTACTTTGAAAGCATAAAAAATTATACAAATAAATTAATAAAAAGTTACGGGACACTATATTATTATTGCCATATATATGGCGCCAACAGATTTTGTAGCGCTTTACAATATTATTAAGAGATGGGGATTTAACTATAAATAGGACAATTACAAGAAAACTTACAGGAAGAATAGGTTGAAGAGGACCCTGCTCAAACGAGCTTACAGTCTATAGGAGGTGGGGTGTAAAACACATTAGGACAGGAAATAGCAATCAAATAAGGTGGGAGTGAAGCTGGAGGAGAGAGCAAGAGACAGGTATATGAGGTAGAGGTTACTCTGGGAGGCCATAAGCTTTCCTAAAGAGATGGGTTTTAAGGCACTTTTTAAACAATTGAAGACTAGGGGAGAGTCCGATGGCGGTAGGCAGGCTATTCCATAGGAAGGGAGCCGCCCGCATGCGTGCGAGCAGTGGACAGGAGAAGGGCATGGGCGTAGCAGAGAGACCGAGAAGGGGCATACCTATGGATCTGTGAAGAAATATGAGGGGCTAGAATCGGTCAATGCTTTATAGGTATGGGTTAGCACTTTGAATTGACTCCTATAGGATACAGGAAGCCAATGTAAGGACTGACAGAGGGGTGAGGTGTGAGAGGACCGACTAGAGAGGAAAATCAGTCTGGTGGCAGCATTCATTACAGACTGCAGCGGGGCAATAAGGTTTTTGGGAAGACCAATTAGGAGAGGGTTACAATAATCCATGCAGGAAGTAACTAGAGATGGACAAGCTCCTTAGTAACATCTGCGTAAGAAAGGGGCGGATGCGGGCTATGTTTTTAAGATGGAAGCTACAGGACTTGGTAACATGCTGGATGTGAGGCTCAAAGTTGAGGCCAGAATCAACTATGACACCAAGACAGTGTGCTTGCAAGGATGCACTGATGGGGATACCACTAACTTGAAAGGAGAGTGAAAGAGGAGGATCAGTATTAGGAGGAGGAAAGACAAGGAGCTCAGTTTTAGAGAGATTTAGCCCGGCGAGAGGGAGGACTCCAGGAGCCTACAGTGCCAGGGAAACGGGTTTGTTTTCCTGGCACTATAGGATCCCTTTAAGCTATAGTTGTACTGGTGCCTATACTTTCCCTTTGAGGGGCATGATATATACACCAAAACTGCTTCATTAAGCTAAAGACATTTTGGTGCCTATAGTATCCCTTTTAAAAGATAAATCCAATTAAATGAAAAATCTGACTAGTAGTTAATAGTAATCTTTTAAGTATCCACATCCACTCAAAAGGAAAAGGCTCTACCAATGAAAAACATCTCTCTGATCAGAGTCCAACAGGAGTTTATCTAATAACTAGTTTGTTACTCAGCCTATGTTCCATACATCATATAGTATGTCTGTACACAAATGGCAGCCATACTACAACTATCAGTTCATACACAGGCCTGTTAATGTGTGCGCGTCTCATGCATGCACAAGTTGGACAAGACCGATTAAACAATCTAGGAGTTGTAGTTACATTGCATTATTATCACTTCAGTACATTTTGTTATTCCACTTATTAAAGGACCACTTCAGCTTAATGAAGTGGTCTGGGTGCCAGGTCCCTCTAGGATTAAACCCTTTTTTTATAAACATAGCAGTTTCATAGAAACTGCTATGTTTATAAATGGGTTAATCCAGACTCCAAATCCTCTAGTGGCTGTCTCATTGACAGCCGCTAGAGGCGCTTGCATGCTTCTCACTGTGAAAATCACAGTGAGCAGACGCAAGCGTCCATAGGAAAGCATTATAAATGCTTTCCTATGAGACCGGCTGAATGCGCGCGCAGCTCTTGTCTCGCATGCGCATTCAGACGAAGAGGAGGATCGGAGGCGGAGAGCTCCCCGCGCGGCGCTGGAATAAAGGTAAGTTTAACCCCTTTCCTCACCATCCAGCCCGGCGGGAGGCTTAAAATGACTTAGAGTCCAAAGAGGAAGAGGACCAAAAACAAAAACAGATTAAGGAGAAAGTTTACATTTTAGACATAATTCGAATTAATCTACAAATCAGAGGATTTGCAAAATGATAAATTTGAACTTAATTTTTTGGTTTTAAAGTCACTGTTCGGTAAATAGATCCCAGTATAACCTAAATAAGACCAAATACAGAGCACCGAAAATATATCAGTACCTGAATTCTTAATGTACGGCATTAAGTCCATGCATTCGGTTTTCTTTGCATAACGTTGGATTATTTGTTCCAGATTAGAGAAAGTCACTGGAGTGCCTTGTGACAACCAGTCTACAAACTCTTTCACCGATTCGTCAGGAACATGACACATATGAAGAAATAACGAGAGCATTGATGTTTCACCAAGTGCATCTTCTAGAATTTCATAGGATGGGTGTCCTTGTGTAAAACATTGTGAGTTGGCATATTTCACCTCCACGGTTACACGCCACCAAGGATCCACCAGAGGGAAGACACCAGTCACACGATGTTCCATTTCATTTTCATCTTTAATAATTACTTTATAAAAATAAAAAAAGTGACAGAAAGAGAGAAAATAGTCAAGTACATATATCTGCCACATATTGAAAGATAGTGATGTGCTTTCTATGAGATTTAAAGGGGATCTTCGGGATAAAGTTAAAACCTTTTTTCAATACAATTACATACCCATCCATAGTATGAACACACACAAATAAACAGAATGCAATTCTAGGTCAATGTTCTAAAAGTGTAGCAATGAATAGCTTTCAGTGGCTCACACAGTATGAAAATAACTTTCACGTTCACCACCCTACCCTTTGGCTAGGTAACTTAACACCACTACCTGTAGTTACTCGTTAAGTATGTACTAGTTATCATAATGCAGTAATACCAAAAGGGCTGAGAGGGTGTCCACATAACAGCTATTCCTGGACACAGTCAATAGTTTTAATATTTCAATCCTATGCTACTCCAGCTGTTGAGGACTACATATCCTATGATCCTCTGCCAGTCAGCCTGTCTGAGCCCCAGTTAAAGGACAGACAGTGATATGAGAGGTGCCATGCCTATGTTAGTACATTATAAAAGGGGGAGAGGTTTGTTAATATAGTGAGAGCAATCCCATGCTACTCCAGCTGTTGTGGACTACATGTCCCATGATCCTCTGCTAGTCAGTCTGTCTGAGCCCCAGTAAAAAGACAGACAGTGATATGAGAGGTGCCATGCCTATCTTAGTACATTATAAAAGGGGGAGAGGTTTGTTAATATAGTGAGAGCAATCCTATGCTACTCCAGCTGTTGTGGACTACATGTCCCATTATCCTCTGCCAGTCAGCCTGTCTGAGCCCCAGTTAAAGGACAGACAGTGATATGAGAGGTGCCATGCCTATCTTAGTACATTATAAAAGGGGGAGAGGTTTGGTAATATAGTGAGAGCAATCCTATGCTACTCCAGCTGTTGTGGACTACATGTCCCATGATCCCCTGCCAGTCAGCCTGTCTGAGCCCCAGTTAAAGGACAGACAGTGATATGAGAGGTGCCATGCCTATCTTAGTACATTATAAAAGGGGGAGAGGTTTGTTAATATAGTGAGAGCAATCCCATGCTACTCCAGCTGTTGTGGACTACATGTCCCATGATCCCCTGCCAGTCAGCCTGTCTGAGCCCCAGTTAAAGGACAGACAGTGTTATGAGAGGTGCCATGCCTATCTTAGTACATTATAAAAGGGGGCGTGGCTTGGGTCTCACCCGTCCTTTTTTGGGGGGTCCAGGAGGCTACGGCCACGCCCCCTCCGGCGATTTCCTCCCCATCCAGGAAATGGGGGTCTCCATCCTCATAGTCCTCCTCCTCCCCGTCATCCTCGGCCTCCGCCGGCTCGTTTTTCACGGGCAGTAACTGTCCCCGCAGCAGCTTGCCCCTAACCCGGCCCCGGCGGGAGTGCGAGCCCCTGGCCAGCGCGCTGCTCATCGCTACTTTCCAAACAGGCGCCGCGGCGACCGGAAGTGACGACAGAGTGAGGGCGGAAGTTAGATGGAGGGGGAGTCAGTGTGGGAAGAGAAAGTGAAAGTTTGCCCTGAGTGTCTGTGCACATGGCTCAGCAGGGTCAGTCACACATTGGGGGGGGGGGGATTTTAGGGAATTTTACATTTTATGGCAAAATATCTCCTGGTTTGGAAAGTTTGTTCTGAAATATGAATTCACCCTGAGTTCCTGGCCATTCACAGCTGTGAATAAACCTGCTTCAGGGGGGTTTTTGTTTTTTTTGTTAAATGGCAAATTCTAGTGAACTGAAAACCAAATTGCATGTCTTTCAACATTCAGTATGGCAGATTATTATAGTGTTATAGTATTATACTGGGGCAGACATAAAGGAGCGTGTTGGTGACATGGTTACCTCACATGTGAGGCCCAAAAAGAGCAGATCTGCATAAAGAGGTGATGGACACGTTAAAAAATAAATAAATAAAAGTGTCAGAGGCGAAGCCTAGCGGCCGCCCTGACTAATTGCACATCTTGTGAGCTCCGTGCAATCTGGCTTTTAAAATAGCTCTAAGTGCATATTTCTGCCTTGAAATATACTTACCGAGATAGCCCAGTGCCGGGAAGCATCCCTTGCTCTTAATCGCTCTGTGTTTCCGACCACCATCCATGCCGCACCTCACGCGATAGCTTGTGGTTCCTGAGCAATGCACTGACGCAGTACTGCAGCCAAGACAGCAGAGGTGAATGCCAAGGGAAATCACTTTGGCGACGAAGGTTCGGACCGGCACTGTTCCACTGCCTTCCTGGGCCACGGCCGAACCCGGGACATTTACCTGGACGCAACTTACTACGTTGGAAGGCCAATACTACACTGCAGTAGAAGCAACGTCCCACGGTGTCTCGAGATCAGGCCCCTGTCACAACCTCAACTGGGACTAGTGAGACTGGCGTTTTGGACTGTGCTAAGGCCTGGGGCTGGTGGGGTGCCGATGCATGGGTCTCGAGTCTTCTTACTTGGCCGGACAGTGTCCATTATATGACAGGTATGGGATAAATAACCTGGTCACATGCCACCTTATTCTTTATGCCTTATTATACCTGCAACATGTTTACAAAGTTATTTTTCAAAATTTGCAATGACTGCTAGGGTACATATTACCCTTCTCTGTCCATAATGGCTCCCCATTACCTACCTGCAAGCTTATTATAGGATATTTCATGCCACTCCGAGCGCTGCACAGGTACACTAACTCGCTAAGCATGCCTAGTACGTATTGCTTGCTAAGCTTATTCTTCACAAGCCTATTCTTCACTCTCTACCTAGACATATGTCGCTAGGCTGATTACCACATGTTTATTACCTGCATTATTATTTTTTAAAGATGAGGCAGTCTTCACTTGGAGATGCATACCCATGTGCTTCCTATTCTAATAATTGTGTTTATGCAGTTGTGCGTGTTACGCTAGTCTACTCATGTGTACATCTATGCTTACTCCTTTCTGAATGTTGTTAAAAAAAAAAGCATCATATCTATAGCCCCACTGAGGGCACGGCAGAGTGCCATTAAAGCCCTCTGTATAAGGGTTTTGTCCCCCTGAAGCAGGCAGCGGTACTTAGTCTTCAAGTGCATGGAACTATATTTCTGATGCTTTGCCTCGCGAACCCCAGGAAAATCATACTGTTCCCTGCTCCGTTTCCAGACAAGCCAGGAGAGCGCTTTTTAGGAAAAAGACCCTCCCAAACGGGGAGACCATTCGCTCCCTACGAACCAGGGGGAGCCTTTGGTTACATTCGTATAGGAACTCATGAAAGTTGACCTGCCACTACCTCTTTTCTTATGGAACAATTTTTTGGCAACAGCCACGTGGGTGGTCAGTCAAAACTTTACCCCGATGGCGATTTGGCTATACTACATGGATCTGTACAATTTGGACAACTTGGCGCTCAGATCCGGACTATCCGGGGATTTAATACTTGTGGGGTTTCCTATCTGTCTTATATGCATTTTGTGGTGTTTTATGTTGTAATGTATTGTACCTCTAGTGCCTGGGAGATAATTAGTTTAAGCAAAGGCAAACTCATTTATCTGACAGACACAGAGACACCCAGGCGGGGTTACTGTTGTATTGGATAGAGACCCCATGCTGGGGGCCGTGTATATAAGCAGGCAACTTGGCCCTAATAAAACAGTACTTCTTATACCCAATACGACTGGTTGCGTCCATTACATCGGGGAAACTCTAAACAGATCGAATAGTGCTTGTTCATGTTGAATGTCAGTATATAAAGGGTGAGGCTCATTAGTGTACATATACTGCAAGAGGAAATGAATTAAGCAATTAAAGTTGTTTCTGCAGAAGTCCTCTTTGATTAAAGGTAACTCTAAGCACTATGACCACGTCAGTGTTGGGATGTGGTCATGGTGCCTGGAGTCTGTATGTGTCTGTCACTAAGAAGTGCTGCTAACAATAGTTCTTCGCATACAAGGTCTCCGTCAGATCACATAGCATGTTGGCAACGGACATCCAAGTTATCCCTCAGCCCAGCATTGCAAAGTCCAGCCTCCCGCCTCTGAGCTAGATCTAAAGTCAGTTTTGCCTTTTTTGCTTTTTTTTTTTAGCTCACATTTTTCCTACTGAACCACTGGGACTCTTTCACTGAATCACTCTGATCAACCAGTGTGTGCAGCCAGCGACGGGCTGATCCAGTGTGTGCGGCCAGTGGCAGCCTGATCCAGTGTATGCGGCCAGCGACGGCCTGATCCAATGGGAGTTCTGTGGAGCAGGATCGGAAACACCGCAAATAGCTGACAGACCCTGGAGCTTCCCCTGTGGCTTTGTGCAGATGGATACAGTGGTAGGGGGTATCCTCTCCCTCATCACGCTGATAGGTCATTCTATTAATCACAGACACTAATAAAGATTTACACAGCCCTCCCTGCGGATGGCAGTAACAGACTTTCTGTGAGTTTCAGCTGCTTTAATCTTGTGTATTACATTAAAGTGCACCAAGTGCTACCCATCAGCCACTAGGGTGAAGCCTGAGGATGGGTTCCCAAGTGATTTAGGAGGATACTGAGCCTGTTTAATCAGAGTTTGATGTGCTTAGCCACCTACTGTATTACCTGCCACCGTTTGGGACTTTGCCGAATTCACAGAGTGCCTCAATGGTGACGTTTGGTGGCCAGGGAGCAGGTAAAGGTGAGTTTACATAAATGAACCCGTTCTTCGCCGGCGCTACCATCTTGATCCTCATGCCCCAATTCACTGGTGACAACTGGGTGGACTGACACTTCTAGATGTCGGTAGCTCCACCCAGTGTCCAGAAGTGTCAGGCGTGGGAAATATACAGAGACAAAGTAGTCCCTATTTTATCTCAGTATATCTCTTGACTTGGTTGGAATTTCGGTGAAATAATCAGTCATAATTAGCATTTTATCTTTATGAAATACTTATTTTTCAGGGGAATGACACTGCCGCTTTAATATATGTTTATACTGTTTTACTGTTGCCAGTGTATATTGTAGTTATTTACTGTGTTCCTGCAGTTGAGACCCATCCATGCCTTGGATGTCCAGTCAGGAAGCACTGCCAATGTTATGTATCCCAGCTCATGTATGGCAGAGGCTCAGAATTCCCTTGTAAAGCAGTAAGATGTAACCGAGAATGATGACCCCAGGGGTTTAATAGACATACCACCCTTGAATACATGAATGCATTTAATTAGCATTTTGTCATTGGGTATATCTAAAACAGCTTGTAGATCTCTTGTTTGCTGCCTTTACAAGCCCTCCCCTTCTAACCCTGCCCGCACTTTCTGTGACTGTCCAATCACAGACTGCCCAAAGCCGCTCAATGAGAAGTCTTTGCGAGGCAGATGCTCTGGGCAATTGCTGCCTCTTGAGTTTAGCTCCACTGAGCTAACCAAACCAGGAAGTAACAGGATGGGTTGTCTGGATGACAGCCATTGGAGTGTAACAAGGTTTTGCAAGCTGTTTTTAGATGTATACCCAATGACGAAATTCATAATTAAGTGTGTTTTTTGTTTTGTTTTTTGCATTTGGACAGTGAAGTGGCTCTTTAAAGTGCAACAGCACTAGTGGTAGGTAAGTCATATTTAGAAACAAAAAAGAGTAAGTTAACATTCAGATTTTTTGTTTTTTATTTGATAATTAATAGGGTTTCTCTTTAAACATCTTTAATCTAGAAAAGTTAAAAATGCTATTTTTATTTTTTACACTGTGCAATTCGCTGTAAAATCTAGCCACATTTTATGCTGAATTTCCAATAGATGTAAATGACAAAAGTCAGATAACACTTCTCACTTACGCAGCAAGAAAACTTGTCCCTTATATTCAGCAAACCACCAAGGTCAGTAAAAGCAGAGGTAGCAATTCTCAGAGCGTAGGATGTGATAATAAAAGAATACAAAGGAGGATATGGGATGTCTTTACAGAGGAGAATACAAGGTTAAGGACAGATAGAAAACATTTATAGTGTAAATGAAAATTAATTTAACTCCTGCTTGTCTGTGTACACCACTATTGGAAAAAAGCCTGAGCGAACATGCACAGCTCTGTGCAGATGCCCGAGTGGGGCAATGATGTCATCCTGAACAGAGATGCATGTTTTTTTTAAATTTGTTTTACCATGGTGAAGCAACACGGAACTTCCACTTACATAAAAGCAGCAGTTCCAGATGAACAATGAATGCTTACCTAGTGAAAAAGCATTTAATTGTGTGCCCAAAAACTAGATTTTGGCACTATTTCACGGTTTTGTGAACCAGGTTCAATAAATATGTCTGTATTTTTTTTAGTCAGCAGTCTCTTCTTAAAGGGTTACACCAAGCACCATGAGTCTATATGTGCAGTGTTTTCTTTAACCCCTTTGCTGCCGGAGCTGTATCTCCGCCTCCAGCAACATCATTGGGGCGTCATTAGCTAACTGGCCAGTTCCAGAATGGCTAATATCAATTATATTCAAATTTGTCATCTTTCGTTAGCACGCACAGCATGTTGGCAACAGACAGCCAATGGTAGCACATACCCTTCCATGTTGCCCATATTCTCCCCTCAGTCTGCCTTCCCTTACATCCCTTCCATGCCAGCAAGGGCAAGTGACTTCAGCAGAGGAAGGTCAAGCAGAGTGGAAACTTGTCCTGGCTACTGGAAAGTAAGGTGAGTTTTAACGATTTTCTATTTTAATTATAAGACTGTTTTTTGGTTGGTATAACCTTTAATGGCTCCTGAATTATTTAATTACTAAATAAATAGAATCAATATGAACACACACTACTATATATTTGTAAAGTCATATAATAAACATATTACATATTTAATATTAAGTAAACATGTAAGTACCAAAAAATGTAAATTTATAATATATTTTCTC